TGTACGGTACACGCTCTGCTCAAGTGCCAGATGCTTAATTTGGTCCAACATTTCTCGCACTCATAATCTCCACGAGTCACCACAGCATCTTGATCTTCTACTCAAAAGCTATGCTGATGTCATTTCCAAAGCAGCTACCGGGATCTATTTGTCTTTACAGCTGTTCATCAATCTGAACTTCACAGACAAGTTGGGCGAGACCCCCTTCAACATCCACTAACTGACGTATAGATTCGTCTGTGGCAGTAACCGGTTGGATTCCAGTTGACGAATATAAACGCCCATGGAAGTGTGAATGAGTTTAAAAAAAAAGTTACTTGTGTGAAGGTTGGTAGAGAAAACGGTTATGAAAGAAATTACGTTATGGGATAGATGAAGGAAAAATTGTATTGTCGTAAGTCGGTGAAAAAAAAACATTTTCCTGCCCAACCTCAGACGACCCAACAGCAGCAGGGCCGTGCATTATTAAAGAGCAGGGGGGGACTCAAGGGTCCCCTCGAAGGCACCACGTCAACAGAAAAACCTTGCTTGAAAAGCTCCCCGTGCATATGAATTATGAAGCCTTTGTTTTGTTAGCCCTAAAAGCTAAACGCTAGCAGCTGTTTGCCAGATAAGTCGCCCTGCGGGTGCAAGTGGCACATTTTCGCGGAGGTGAGCCCCAGAGTTGTCCAAACACGACGTCATTTTATCCAAATGAGTTTTTGACACTTGTTAAATTGTATCTGGAATCGACAACTCCTCAGCAAATGGAAAGAATTGAGTTGACATCAGGCCGTGTCCAGTATTTAGTTTGTGATATGCTAATATTTTCTTCTGGAAAATGATTTGTAATATTATGAGAAAGTTACATTTTATTTTAGAAAAGAAAATATTCATCTTTATTGGAAAACAATGAAGGGCGGGAAATGAGATTCCCCCCCCCCGTGGATGATCCCGGTTGCTTGTCATGTTATTTGTACAGTGCGGTACTATATAAAGACAACGTGGAGGAGCCGCCATCCGTCCCGTTTGAGCGGGGGGGCGGGCTTGTCTCGCATGTCTATTTGTGTCCTGGTAAATGGGTTAGCGTGGACCGGAATAATCTGTGTGGCTCCCAGTGTAGCGCGCCGATATAAATACACTTGATAGGACCACGCAAGCAGATGTTTCTCTACGATAGCGTCTGAATTAATCATCTCACTCCTGAAGTCTATTTATGAGGCGGAGACTATGTTTTTTTTTTGGGGGGGGGTTGATTTTACTGCTTCCCAAGAGCATAAGGCCTAACTTCCTAGATAGTCTGCCAAAGAATAAAATACAAGGATTCTAAGACTTTGAAACAAGCCAACTGTGGGATTCAGTCAGGCCTAACGTATCACCTGCCTAGACGGGTTGCCAAGCAATGTGGAAAATGAGGTAAACATGAAAAGTGCAAGTTGTGCCTTTCGGAAACAGAGTGGGTTTTACCACTTGGCAACCAGCTAGCGGTAGGATTCATTCAGACCCAACCAGTTTCCTGCCTGATCGGGCTAAGCAAATTGTAAAAAAAAAAAAAAAAAGGAAATTTGGAAAGGAGCCAAGTTAATGTGAAACATTTTGGATTTTACTACCTTGCAACCAGCAGATGGTTGCTTTCAATCACAGCCAACTAATTTCCTGCCTAAATGGGCTGCCAAGCAAACTTTTATCCCTGTACTGTTTCGAGTCATCCATTCGGGAGCTTCAGTCTGCTAACATTGATCCGCCACGTTAAACGGTCTTGACAGACCAAGTGTTTCCTCGGGGAGGAACTGGAGTGATTCTGCTGCCCGTCCCTTCCCCTGATTGAATTTGCTTCAGTAATAACTTTAGGTATCGTCAGCCCCGAGCGCAATTTTGGGCCGATTCGATTTTTTGCTAGCTAGCCTGACAGGTTATCTGATTTTTGTGATTGGCCTTTCGTAACAGACCTGAGCTTGTTATTGTCGTCTTAGTCTTTTTTTTTTTTTTTTTTGCAAGTGAATCGACGGTAACGCTCAACAATTATATCTTTAGCACCACCAGGCGGCTGACGTATAACATACGTAGCGTGACAACAACTTCCCTGTTTGTCTGAAGACCCCATAGACCACGCTAAGATCGGAATTGGTTTTAACGTGGTGAAGGGCTCATGTGGCTCATTACGCGAGGTTATTCCAGGAAGTGTAAACAATTGTACATTTGTGTTCATCAGGCAGCTCAATGTTTTCTGAATTCATTGACAACTATTCTGATCATCGATGATTTGGAAACCTTGTTTAACTTTAAATTGTGCAAATCATTGGCATTTCAGTCTTTCAACAGTAAATATTGTCCGATTTCTGTTGTCCTCCACGAACAGGGTGATTATCTTTGTGCTGAGTCCAATTCAGACATTTGCCGATTTTCTGAGATGATTCGGACCAAACCAGAAACTGAATCATCATCAATTTATGTTTGTGCATTTTCTGCCCTGCCAAATTGAAATCATGCCCTGCTTTTAAATATATATATATATATTTTTTTTTATCCGCGTCCTCGATGAATTGAAAAAAACGATTTTTTGCTGATTAAAATAATAGCTTAGTACCTACGCTGCCATCTACGCCAGGCCTTTTAGAACCGCATTTAGTGAGAAGCTAACAATTGTATGTTTGTTGAGCTGGTTACCCCATTGAAATCGTTTGCGTGCGGATGCGCGTTGTCCGAACCGCTGATCTTCGAAATCAAGCGCAAGACAGAAATGGTCCTCCGAGCGGGAAATGAGATGAACCCTGGACGACTTTTAATCAACGCAGCCCGGTGACGGGTCCCCAGTGGGGACAATCTAATTGAGGCGCAAGCTACGTATGGCCTTTAACACTGCCACTCTACGGCTCCCCCCGGTGCGGGGGTCAAGTAATTGCGCCTTGGTGGTCCGTGTTTGAGGTCAACTTGAGGGTCAATGGCATTTTGCAGCAAGGGAAGGGAATTGGAACGCTGTCCTCTGGACATTTTGTCCGGAACGGATTGACTTTCTCAGGCAGTCACCTGCCGTTAGCCGCGACGCTAATTTGACACGAGACCGCTGAGCCGTGGCAAGGAAAGCTATTCGTGAGCAGCCAGCTTATTATTAACCCGGGACCTCATCACGCACTTAAACGCTTTCCGCGCCTTTGATGACATAATCATCAAGGGTTCATTCTTTTGTCCGTGATGAAAATGGAGACATTCTAACCCAAAGCATTTACCATCAAATTTAACGCCAGACTCAGTAAGGGCTACTTTTTAATCATGCAAATATAACCAAGTGGGTTGATTATTATTATTATTTTTTTTAAACTTCATATCGCTAACCTTATCTTTATGTTTAAATTCAGTCTCAGTCCGAAAAACGAACTCGAACCCAATTCCAGCTCTATGCCCTAACCTAGCCTAAAGCCTTCATGTACATTAGGGCTACTTGGAACTTATGGTCAAGAAAATTTTTGGGTTCCCCTCTAAGATTTGAAAAGAAAACCCGCATTCCGACGTCGAGCCCAGTGACCTAAACCGGAAGAAATTGACGAATACGGCAGCCAAGCCCCCCCCCCCCCGACCTTCGTTGGTCTTGAATGAATGTGACTCTGACCAACAAATTACAGATCGGTATGATCAAGGGCTCAATGTAGGCAAACCACCATTCGTATTTACGATTTTTTGGTATATATTATTTTGTTGATCTGATTTGTTCTTCAAGTTACACTGTTTTTATCTTTCGGACGCACGCGAGGCGAAAGTTGCTGTTCACGTGAGTTTTTTTTTTTTTTTTTTTAAACAATCTTTATCCGGGAGCCAAGCTTATCCTGATAAATACGACTCTATTCACGTTATAACGTGATATTCAGTGTTTTTTTTTTTTCTGGTGTTTCAGCAATTCTGTAAAACTCCATAAACGGCGGCTGTGACCTGTGAGTGAACGGATATAATTGCAGCACGTCCTCGACGGATTTGGATCCCCCCCCAAGGGACAATTAATCATGGAAATGAGCCGGCAGAGGGGAAGCTAACGTGATGCGTTCTATTTATGTACACGTCAACGTGGGTTTAATTGCGTGTTTGAGGGCGAACATCTGCGCACACGCGTGCTTTGTGTCAGTTTAAAACATACATGAAGATCCCGGTGGCGGCCTTGGCGGAGGTTTCCAGGCGCTTCGTTTCACGGGCAGGTTTGTCGTCTAGCATGTCGAATCGCAGACGATTGTTCGCCCCTTTGGGACGGCGTCCATCACAAAAGTCCACGAGGCACAATAACGGCTGTCATGAGGGGCGTTATTGAGCGAGCGGCAAAATCTGATTTTAAAATTGCCAATTGTGATTGATGTATTTGCGCTTATTCACACGGTAGAATATCGATGCCCGCGTTTGGGGCCTCCAGCTGTCCGTATCGGCGTCGCTAGCTCAACGTGGATGAGCGATCGATATAACGGCAGGATAAAGGCAGTAGTCCATTTTAAGTGATACATTGCTCAGTGTGTTCGTTTTTTTTGTAGTTCATTTCAAACTATATTCAAAGTTTAAGGCCTACAAATCTTGTCATAATTGCCTGACTATTCTATGTTGCTCATGTTTTATGAATTTGCCGCTTCGGCCGCCGTGTTGTCGTCGACGGGCCGTCGTGCGTCACACTTTAGCGGTGGTGTGCGGCAGCCAATTGCCGAAAATGATCACCGACAGGATGGATGCCCAAGGCGCGGCCAGGAAACACACCTTATGAAAATAGCTTGAGAACAAATCTATTAAAGTCTCTTGAACTGTCTGCCAAGTGCTTTACACGATGCCTCTTTTCCTCACTCAGCGAGAGCCGTGTGGCACTTTGGTGCCTCAAGAATGAAAGCCTGCATGTTTTTTTTTTGAGACAATAACAAGTAACATTAAATCTGTTCGATACATTTGAGTAAGTTATTGATTGATTGAAATGTTCTGAACTCCTGTTTGATGTTGTATCGATACTTGTTCATCGTGTGTAATGGTGATATTTTCCCTTTTTTTTTCCCCCCCAACAGGACAAGTCGTCGTGGCGACCGCAGTCGTGTCGGGAGTGTACGTGTCACGACAAGGTGGTCATCTGTGCGCCCGTCCAATGCGTCAACCCAAAGTGCGACTTCCAGAGAGTAAGATGACCTTTTTCAACCATTCCAACATTGACTATTACAACCACCACGTCACACCCAAAAACTAGAAATAAATGAAGCTTAAAGGTAAAATACCGTATAAATGACACTGTACAACATAACGTACGTGTATTTCGGAAACTTAACATAGACTTCATGTATTTTCAAATAATGTAGTTCAACCTGAAATTTTGTGTTGTTTTCTGGTTGAAAATTCTTGAGACATCAATACGAGCCAAAATGCCATCGAGCATTCGATGATGTGTGTGTGTGTTGTCCAAAGGGCGAGCGCTTGAGGATTCCTGCCGATCAATGCTGCCCGGAGTGCGTTTCCTCCATCGAGGGATCGTGCAACTACCAGGGCATCACTTACGCCGTACGTCACGACAACACGCGCTCAAGTTCTTTCTGCGCATTTCTTACGTATTCCCGTGTGCCTCTGTCGGTTTCTCTCAGCATGACAGTCAGTGGAGTCCTTCGCCGTGCACGATATGCGAGTGCTCCGCAAGTGTGGCATCTTGCGGCCCCCACCGCTGCCCCGCCCTCAGTTGCCCCGACAACCACTACCCTTTCACCCCAGCCGGGGAGTGCTGCCCGAAGTGCGCTCGCAATGGAGGTAAGCGCACCCGGTTAGCCAGCAGAAACTGGCATTCTGGCTTTTTTTTTTTTTTTTTACCTCTGTGCCGGAAAGACTTTTTTTTGGTGACTCGACATAAGATGTATGAATTTCAGGGACAGTGCTTACTACAGTGGACAGCCCACCATGTTATCAGGTTATAGGGTGCACAAAGGGGTTAAATATCACCTTGGTCATTTCGTTTGGCTTCAGGGACGGAATTTTCAAACATGGAATAAGGGTCTCCGAAAACCATCGTACCTCCTGGCAACCTCTGATGATGATGATGATGATGTCATCATATTTTCTTACCCGGTAAAAATGACCAAAGGGCTTTCATTGAGCCGATTCATCCTTAGGAGCGCTTTTTACAAGGTTAGCAATATTCCTTTATTCCGCTCAAGTACTTGCGAGGCCATCGAAATCACACCCCAGACGACGCACATTTGCATAAGTTCATTTCCTCGCGCCACTTTAGCGTTTCTTAGTCAAAGTCGAGCTATTACACACAAGGCAGGAGGCTGTTTTGTGCCATTTCCACACGCAGGCGGGAGTGCGGGGAAATTGCGCTCAAAATAGCTTTGAGGATTTCAACAACACATTCATTCACCTTAACAACAATAGCAAGTTTTGACATTTAACTTCCCTTTTAAACTCGCGTCCGTCATTTGCATGTGAAACAGTTTTGCTTCTCATTGTTGGGATGACTCATTCACGTTTGCAGCTCTTTGTATAGCACATTTGTGTTTTGTTTTTTTGCCTTTCAAGATTGTTTGAGAACATTTTAATGACTTGTGATTCTCGAGGAAGCAATTTCCTGCTCAATGGATGCTTTCAATCGAAAAAGATAAGACTTCCTGTATCTTTTAGGGAGTTGCTTATTAAGACTTATTTGTGGCAAGATGACCCCACGCGGCTGCTTCGAAATGACAAAATTCATGTTTTTGTGTTTTTGAGCATGGCCCTTGGAAGCATATTTGTGAGTGTCGTGATATTAGACATGCCGATGAAATTCCATTTTGCTAAGTGAAAATGGCCTCAGAGGATCCATTTTTCAACAATTAGAAATGAGAAATAAGCAGGAAAGGGCCAAATCGACCCCAAAATAACCACTTTGAAGCAAAATGGCAGAATTCCTGCCAGCATGGCCCACTTGAGACATTTTGTGCGTCTACTCATGGAAGACATGCCTACCGAATCCGAATGCTGCTCAGTGAAACTGGCTTCACATGCTGAACTTTCAATTTGAAGGACCGCGGAAATGACCAATATGATCCGAAACCGACCGACCACCCGAAATCAAAATAGTTGTTTTTGGACAAGGCTTTTTGAGACTTTTTTTGGTGGGTCTACTCATGATAGGCATGCCTTCTGAATTCCACATTGGTCCAATTTGATCACGATTCGAAGGATCCCGGAAATGGACAAAGTGACCACATCATTGAAGCAAAATGTTTGATCGACTTCCTGTGTCTTTTTCGGGCCTGGCTTTTTCTCGTGTTTCACCTCATGATCGACCTGACTACCAAATTCCATTTCTCATGAGCACGTTTGCGTGTGTCAGAGTCTTGCTCCTGGGAGGGTTCCGAGTACAGGGATGGCGAGGAGTGGCGTCCCAGCCAGTGTTCCAGATGCGTTTGCCACAACGGCGACGCCCGATGCTCGGTGGTCGAATGTCAGCGAGTTGTCTGCCAACACGTGAGTCTCCCACACAACCTGCCGTAGCCCCTTTCGCACTTTGCCGTCCATCGGTAGATTTGGAATACAAAACCATTGTTGCCGTCGTCTGCCGCAAATGCCACAAAATTGTGATGCGTCGGCAAGTTTGTGTTTCCCCCAAAAAACCAAAAACGTATGCTCTCGCTCAGAATGAAAACTTGGTGATCCAGCCTGGTCAGTGCTGTCCTCAGTGCGACTCCAACCCGTGCTTGTCTGCCGGCAAACAGTATCAGGTAAAATCACTTCATTCGGTACCCCTCAGAAGAACGCAAAATCTAACGTGTGATGGTGTTTGTGTGTGTTTGCGTGTTGACAGCATGGCGAGCAGTGGCAAAAGGACGCCTGCACCACGTGTGTGTGCCAGCATGGTCAGTCCAAATGTCACACGCACACCTGCCGGCCGGTCACCTGCGATATGGTGAGTGTGTACACAGTGTTCACACAAACAAACATGAATGTACTCTCACAATTATAGACACACACACACACACAGATCGGAATATAAACAGGATGGTGAGGCGGTGAAGAGCGACATTTGTTTATCCTTGCAACGTATGTTCCACAACAAACACACACACACACACACACACACACACACACACACACACACACACACACTGTGATTAAACAGTAACCAGTTTGTACTAGACAGCACTAAACAGTCAATGGTAAGTGCAAGACAAGATAGTTACCAGTACGCGCTTGATATTTGCAGTACCGGTATGCACTGAACAAGTATCGCAATGTACTAGACCGGTGGTTTCAAACTCATGGCCAGCGGGCTATTTGTGGCCTGCAGGATGACTTTTGCGGCCCTCAAGTTTAATGTTTGTGTGACCCCTGTGTTTTTTTTTGCTATATGACTGCCCTGTGTGTGTGTTTTTTTTCCCCCCACACATATTTGGGCTACCATAGCTCACGCTCATGGCATCTTTCCGTGAAATGTAATTCTGTGTTGACACCAAATGGAAGCAAAAAAAACATACCATGGACATAGATGCACTCTGTACAGGAATGCGCAATGACATTCAGCTGTGAGCAGATCCTCCTCCATTTGGATGCACACAGCGACGCTGCAAATAGATTGCGGTGCAAGACCTTGTGGAATTGTTTCGGTCTCTCCCTCTCTCACACACGCACGCACGCAACAGTTGACATTTAATTTGCAGTTGTAAGCAATTTTGTCTGTATCGGTACCTCGTTAGGAAGGCGTCGGAAGGCGCACGCTGATGAGCACGCAATCAAATGTAATGAAAAGACGCAGTTATGCCAGAGAGGCAGTTTTACATGTTGTCACACAACAACTGACACAGTAATATCCGGGGCGGATTTTATTCATTCATAATTCTTAATTTTATTCATTGGATTATTATTATCAAACTGCCATGACCTGACGACTCAGCTTTGGAAATATGTCAAAACAACGCCTCCCTCAAATGGGCTCTTTTTTTGTTTGCAAGTCAGTCAATTGATACACTTCAGTAGTTAGTCATTCGCGCAGTTAGTTAGCTAGCTAATTAGTTCCAGGTCGTTAGTCATTCAGGCAGTTAGCTAGCTAATTAGTTCCACGTTAGTTAGTTAAATCACTGACCATTTGATCTGTCAGGCAGTCAGTCGGTTGGTTAGTTAGTTGGTTGTCGCATTGCTGGGTGATCAGTTAGTTTGTCACTGGGTTGGTGCAATGGATGGCTAGTTAGTTGGCTGGTTATTGGGATTGTTGGATGCTGAGTTATGTAGCTAGCTACCTAGTGAGTTGGATGATTGATGAGTTGTTTGGTTATTTGGATTGTTGGTTAGTCGGTCAGTCGGTTGGTTAGATTGTCGGGTCGTACTGTGAGCTGTTTCGGATATTTGATGTGGTCGTGCTGTAGCTACAGTACATGAGGTAGCCCAAATATTGAGGGCCCTACAGTTAACATATATTGCCTAGCTGTCCATACACCAAATTTACTGTCACTTGATGTATCTTTAAAGACAAAGCCGGTTATCCTTCGAGTGCCAACTTTGTGTGCCATCTCACTGATGCGAAACTAACGAAGTAGAACTCGGGGTTGGAAGTCAGCGCGGAGCTTCAATCATGTCCTCTTACTCTTGGAACACATGTGTGAAAATGTCCTCCGGGATGATGGAGATCAGTGGCGGGGGTGTGCTGCTAACAAGCTCACTCGCTGGCCTGCCGCCCGGTAGGCTGGCCGGCTGGCCGGCGTTAATCAAAATTCAGAACGTGGTCGCATGCTGTGCATCGACTTCAATCTCACTTTCTTCTTTCCGGCACTGCGACAGCCGCAATTGTCGTCCATCAAAGTGTGTGACAAGAAATGTTCTAAAAATGTCACGCTACTTCAATGAATTGCCACTGCTATACATCACCTAACACATGTAAAGAACCACAACAAAAAAAAAAAAGAAAAAGCAGAAAACGCTTCCATGAATGTCTGAAAATCAGTCATTATAATCATGAAAGAAATGTTTAATTGATGTCAAAGAACCGATGCATGCTCACGGGGGGTGAATTGTATCCAATGTGGAGTGAATTGTGTTCAATTCAGAATGAAGCATTTTGGAATTCGATTGAATTTGATTGCATCGTCGGCGGCTGAATTCTATTGTTTTTGTGGTCCAGCATATCATAATGGGGGGAATGTCATCATATCACAATCACAGAGCTCGTGGATCACATTGGAGCAGGATTAAATTGGAGAGTCATTGCAGTGAATCAAATAGTGTCACGATTTTCGTGAAACGAATCCCATTCCAGCTAGAGTGATTCGTTTTTCAAGTGATGTGAAACTTAAAATTCAATTGAACCATATCGCATGTGGAGTCATTGAAGTTTACTGTGCAGTCTCCGAATTGGAATCATATCATATCACGTCCCTTTTTAATTGAATCTCCTCACAATTGGAAGTGACTGTTACCAAACCTGGAGTGAATCGTAGTAGAATCGGATTGAGTTTTTTTTTTTTTTTCATGATTAGTTTACGGTTAATAATGTCACATCACATGAACAATATCATAATTGGGGGAAATCAAATCAAAATTTGAGTGAATCACATCACATTGTAACAGAATTGAATCACATCACAATTGGAGGTAATCGAACCTGGTTGAACAGTAACTTCAGTGGAGCGAACTGGAGTTTGCCGTATTCTAGCTGTAGCAAATCAGGTCCTATTGCATCTCTTTCCTCTTCACAATTCCGCTCAATTATAGAATTATATTGACTCGTATTTGAATCATATCGAATGGGGTGATTTTGACACTCAAACGGGGGTTTGCTCTTGGCAGGGTGAGACCAAAGTACGGCGCGCCGGCCAGTGCTGCGACGAGTGCGCCGCCGCCCGGGGAAGCTGCCTCTACCAGGGCATAGTGCGTTACCACGGCGACATGTGGAACGCCAGCGGCTGCGAATTCTGCATGTGCAGCCGCGGTCAAGTCCTCTGCCACAAGGCCGAGTGCGCTCGCCTCCGCTGCCCGCAGGTAAATGTCCTTTTTTTTTTAATTTTGCAGTGGTTGCTAAGAAGAGGACGCTTGGTCGGCTGAAGATTGGATGCTTGCTTGCTGAAATCCTTGGTTACTTATTTGTTTACTGTCAAATGACTTTGTGATTCAATGTTTAGGATTGTTAGGCCTTGCCAGAGGCCCGCGTGTTTGCTTTGCATGGCAAGTATGAGCTTGGCTTCACAAATTAACTTCCACCACTGTAGGTCACGTTGTGTCACAATGTTAATAGTTTTTAAAAAGTGCGTCCAGCGAGATGAAATAAGTTGAAGAGTTGTTGGACTGGCAGTGAGAGATAATGTGCAACTTGATGACGCTTCTTCCAAATATGAACTGATGGAGGTCAAGTAGTAGCTGCTGCTTTTCAAGGGCTATTTTCCGTCATCTTCCACTGAAACGTTACATCCAGCCTTTTGGGTGGCGTCAGAGCACACGCACCGCCTGTCAATTGTGCATTCAACTCACACAAGTGAGAATTCCCGACAAAGCCCAAGGACCTTCTCAAGCAACTATTCGATTTGCTGTGCTCAATTCAACTCATGTATTTCTTTATGGCCTCAGAGAACGAACAAAACTTTTCATGCTTTTCATTACCTTTTTTCCCCTCCCCCCTCTGCTCAAAGTCAAGACAAATTTTTATGGATTTTAATGTAATCTGAAAATTAAACAGAAAATATGAAGGCAACTGTTATGTACTTCCATTCGATCAAATGATCGCGTGGTATGTTGGTTAGTTTGTTAGTTGCATTATAAGTTGCAGTCAACAACAGTTCTAGCTAGCTATAAGCTAGCCACTTAGCTAGAACTGTAGTTGACTGTAGTCCTAGCTAGCTAGCTAGCCAGTTAGCTAGAACTGTAGTTGACTGCAACATATAATGAAACTAACCAACTAACCAACACACCACGCGATCATTTGATCATAGCTAGCTAACTGGCTATCAAGCCAGTTAGCTAGCTACAGTTGCTTACGTTGTTTACAAGACAACTTACAGTCAGCTTGCAGTGGGGCAGTTACCAGATCCACTTGGTTAGTCAATCAGTCATTCAGGGAGTTGTACTTGGTTACTGTAGAGCACATTTGCTCGCTTTATAGCACATTGCAATTACTCTCTCGCACATTCTTGTAATTTTCAAGCATGTTTCATTTGTGGCCTAGAGCATTCTGCAAATTGTCTTTAACATATTTCACTAGATGATTTCCGGTCATTGTATGGCACGCTGCCAATGACTCTCTTGTGACTTCAGGTAAATGTCTTAAGCGTTTTGTGGTTACTGACTTGCGTATTCTGACAACTGACTAGCACATTGTGATGACTGTCTAGCAACCGTACTGCACATTTCAGTTCCTGTCTATAGTTGATTGTGTAGTACGCTCATTAACTGAGTTGCAGTTATGTCTTTCCGGTAACTGTCTAACAACTAACGGAAAGAGCACATTCTGGTTAAGTGTCTAACACGGTTCCAGGAAATGTCTGGCATGTACAATACAATCTAAGTGGATCGTAGTTAGTCACTTTGACGGTTGGTTGATTGGTTCGTGTCCCTGTAACAAATTTTTCATCCACATTTACATCATATTTCATGAATCGATAACGTGTCATATCATCGTCATTTTTATGCGTCAACGTGTCATATTTACAAGATATTTAATGATCTGATATTTTAGGATCTTAGTCTTAGCCGTGATATGTGGCCCGTGTTACACAGTAGCTGCGGCGGGAGGACGGACGGGGAATCATTTGCACTTAAACGCTTGGCCGCTTCCACTTCGGCTAATTAACTCAGCCAAAGTGACTCAAATGGAGAGAGTGGATGAAACCTGTGCCTCTGTGTGTGTGTGCGCGTGTGTGTGTCGGGGAGGAAATCAGCCACACTTTCATCCAAAAAGCCCATTAGGCAGCACAAAAATTATTTTATGCACAAGTGCACTGTGCTTTTATTGTTTTTTTTTTTGTGTGTGTGTGTGTGTGTGTGTGACTGTGTGTCTTTTTATCGGCCAAGCAGTCGCAAATGAAGCCGACGTTTAGCGTCATTAAAGAGGCCTACCAAGGAAAAATAAACAAGTGGGTTAAGACGATTAGGGAAGGCGTGAATTTTGGCTGGCAAATAAGTTTGAAGTGAAAGCTTGCTCCGATGTTTTTGCCAAGTTTGTTTGTACAGCCCTTAATCACAGAAAAGTCTCAAAAGGCTTCACAAGCGCACAGTTGACAAATATTAGCAACGTTGTAAGTCGAGAAAGGTGGATTTTTCTCTTCCTCTGTTCGCATTGTTTTTCATGAGACAAATGTTCTGGTTTTGGGGCTCTTTTTGCCATTTGTACAGAGACAAACTCAAATGTCGGTGAGAAACTGATTTTTCTGGTTTCCACTAAGATGTTAAAATTTTGTTTCGAAATCTATCTTGTTGTTTCCTCAAGTGTGATGACTTTTGGTCATTGGAACTGTCGATAAAAAACAAAAAAAAAAAACAAAAAAAAAACCGTCCAAATTAAATTTCTTTTCCTTTTCTGAATGTGTGATAGTTGTTGTTCAAATGAAGATGTTTTCTTACGTTTGCGATGAAAACATTCCCATTCTTCTGCATACTTGGGACCTAGCTTTGACCACCTCGCTTCTCTATCCAGAGAATTGTTCTTCTAAATTCATCTCATTAATTCTGCGGTGCTAATTACAGCTGTCAAATTGCACTGAGTTGATCTTGGGACGGTGACTGTATTGAAGGTCAACTTTACGTGTTCATTGCCAGACAATTTTCACATTTTCCGAAACTTCTCTTTTTATTTTTTTTTCTTTAGGGGTCAGAGCTGGTTCACCCTCCAGCAATGTGCTGTCCACAGTGTTCCTCACGGAAAGCGTCCTGTTTGCACCAAGGACAATCTTACAAGGTAAAAGGACAATGACCTTACTGTATGAGTGATTTGCTTTTACAGAGCAGTACATAAAGCGGATAAAAAAGCTCTAACTCGTTGCTGTAACTTTTAGAATTAATTTTAATAACCGTCACATTTCGGTTTGTCTAGCTCTAGAACGTACCGGGTACTGTTTACTGTCTAGGATGTTTCGGTTACTTTCAAGCTTCCAGTAACCGTCTTGCATATTCTGGTCATCGTCTATCGTAGTCGCCAAACTCCCAGTTTGTGTTCTGAGGTTCAACTTTGAGCCTTTTTTCTTCCAAAATGGGATAGATTTTCATGTTCCTCATTACGGCGAGGGAAGACGTGTCAAAAGCCAGAATACAAAGCTGTGTATTTTTTTTCCACGCCTTTAGTTTTGATCGTCCAACTTTGCAGAAAAGGTCAAGCACAGCCCAAAGCAAAGGGAGCGCTTATCTTTTTTCCAGCAGCTTCTTCTTCCAACATCTCCCTGGAGAAATCCATCTTGGCTGGTATAAACAAATAATCTAGGGGATCCTCCGGCTCACTTCAGTGCTCACGCGTCAGTCTGCAGGCCTGACTAGACACAAGATATATAGATACATATTTTTTTTATCTGCCTGTGTAAGATTTTTGCTCTGGTTTGTCAAGTGTCGGCATGTTTTATTTGAACCTCCCGAAAATTGGGGTAATCTCTTCTCAGGAGACCTCCGAAACTTTTCTTACTGGGTCCTCAAATGTACCGTGTTGCTAAACCAATGAGAAAACAATGTTAGTCATTTGGTTCGTTAGGAACTGTCTAACACTTTCCAGTAACTCTCAAGCATAGTCTAGTACATTTTAATATGACACGTCCTTCTAACTGTTTAGCACATGCATTTAATGATTTAGCGCAGCGGTCCCCAGCCTTTTTTTGCCCCACGGATCGGTTTAATGTCAGACAATATTTTCAGGGAGCGGCCTTTAAAGGCCGGATAAATACAACAAAATAAAGTGATATGACCTGCATGAAAACCGTGGTATTTTCTAAACATAATAATAAACACGAATCATCTCACAAGGAATGTCCGGAATCTGGCCGTAACACGCTCTGTGGTCGCTATGGTAACGTTTAAACGTGCCTTCAAAATAAGATACACCGCAGATAAAAAAAAGTGCTTGAAAAATACGGACTTGGTGCGTGGGAATCTCCTGTTGAGATAAATTCGTATTTTAGGTAGGACTCCCGATACTGTCTATTACATGTAGCCTTCTTTTTCTTTAAAGTCGTAGGCTCCTCTTCTGTCTCCTGGCTGGGCCTTTTCCCCTTGCCCAAAACAACTTTCCAAGACCTTTGTTTTTAGCTCATCTTTCTAGCTCCTGGGTTACATTTTAGCGGTAAGCTATCACGTGACCGAGAAGTGCAACTTGACCCGCGTCAAGAGTGACATACTGTAGAGAATCCCGTAATTTTTCAAAATAAAACATCTTCCAGATTCCGAAATGAATAAAACGGATGTAATGTTATTTATCCTTTCTGTGCGGTCCGGTACCAAAAGACCGACGGACCGGTACCGGTCCGCGGCCCAGTGGTTGGGGACCACTGATCTAGCGTGTTCGGATAACTGTTTCGCACATTCTAATAATGTTTCAGCGTGTCCCTGTAACTGTCTAGCACATCCATGTCATGGTCGAGCATGTTCCAGTATGTTTCGGTAACTGCCTCGGAAAATCCAGGAACTTTCTCACATGTTCTGAAAACCGCCGGGAACTATCTTGCATCGTCCTTTGTACCGTCGTATGTGTTCATGTAACCGTCTCACAAATTCTGGCAACAGTTTACCATGTTCCTCAGTGTTAAAGCCTATTTTTCTTCATAAATATTGAATCTACCCATCGTCGCCGTAGGACTTGGATCGCTGGACCGACGCCAGCTGCCGCGAGTGCGAGTGCCACAACACCCGAGTGACTTGCTACCTGCCGTCCTGCCCGAGCTGCCCGCCGGGCACCTTGGTCGTCGCCGTGGAGGGACAGTGCTGCCCCCAGTGTCACCAAGGTCAATTGCACATGCGAGTGTATGCGCGTGCGTGCGTGTGCGTGTGCGGGTGCCACAAAGGATCTTCTGTCAAGTTGGATTTGACAGCGAAAGGTCCCTTGTCTGTTCTCCGTGGTCGTTTTGTTATGCAAATCAGCAGCCATGATAAATAATAATGAGGCTTTTAAGGAGGTCGGTGCCGTTATAGATAGTCGCGCCGCGTGAAAACCCAGAGGAACTTTTCGCCACGCGTCTTGGGATTAGGTCGACTTTACATATTTGCTGTTTGCGCAGCAAATGTGCTGATTTCCTGCATCGACATCAAGGCTCGAGCAGGTCGTTTGAAGGCAACGCAGCAGGTTTAGGAGCTACTCACGCACAGTATATATATAAAAAAAATAAATAAATATTGAGAGGGCTTTTGAGTCGTAGAAAAAAAACATTTTTTTTAACCCAAAATGTATAAAATATGAAAACATTGGATCGTGTTTGTTTATTTCAAGTCAATGTTAGTTTTTTTTTTTTTTTTCTTCCTCACACATTGCTGCAACTATCTTGCCCATTGCAGTAATAGTCTCACTCTTTCTGATTACGAAATGTCTCTTGTCACAGGGGTGGGGTACTCGGGTTCCTCGAGAGCCATATCCGGCCTGTTTTCGATCCCTCCCTACTCCAACACACCCTGATTGATTCAATTGTTCATGATGGTTTTAGGCCTCTACAGAACTTGCTGATGAGCTGATCATTCGAATCAGGTGTGTTGAAGTTGAGATGGATCTAAAACAGGCAGGAGAGGGCTCTCGAGGAACCGGAGTTCCCTATCCCTGGTCTAGGATGTTCTTGTAACTGTCTAGCGCATTTTAGTAACTGTCTTGGGTGATCCAACATTGGTTTAGCGAGCACATTCCAGTACCGGTCTAGCATATTCCGGTAAATGTCAAGCACATTTTGGTAGCTTTCTAGTGTGTTGTGGTAAATGCCAGACATTGTTACTTTGCTGTCTTGCACGGTCTGCTCACTATTCAGCACACAACTCTTTCGCATGCTCCGTTAACTGTCAAGTACATTTTGGTCACTGTCACGCTCATTTTGGTCCATCTAATGTGTTTCAGTAATTGGGAAACATCTTCCAGTCGCTGGTAAACATCTAGCCTATTATCGTAATTGTATAGTATACTCTTCTAACGGGCTATTGTCGTAAGATCCTGTATCAGTTTATTTCAAGTCAATGTTAGTTTTTTTTTTTTTTTCTTCCTCACACATTGCTGCAACTATCTTGCCCATTGCAGTAATAGTCTCACTCTTTCTGATTACGAAATGTCTCTTGTCACAGGGGTGGGGTACTCGGGTTCCTCGAGAGCCATATCCGGCCTGTTTTCGATCCCTCCCTACTCCAACACACCCTGATTGATTCAATTGTTCATGATGGTTTTAGGCCTCTACAGAACTTGCTGATGAGCTGATCATTCGAATCAGGTGTGTTGAAGTTGAGATGGATCTAAAACAGGCAGGAGAGGGCTCTCGAGGAACCGGAGTTCCCTATCCCTGGTCTAGGATGTTCTTGTAACTGTCTAGCGCATTTTAGTAACTGTCTTGGGTGATCCAACATTGGTTTAGCGAGCACATTATAGTACCGGTCCATCTTATATTCCGTTAAATGTCAAGCACATTTTGGTAGCTTTCTAGTGTGTTGTGGTAAATGCCAGACATTGTTACTTTGCTGTCTTGCACGGTCTGCTCACTATTCAGCACACAACTCTTTCGCATGCTCCGTTAACTGTCAAGTACATTTTGGTCACTGTCACGCTCATTTTGGTCCATCTAATGTGTTTCAGTAATTGGGAAACATCTTCCAGTCGCTGGTAAACAACTAGCCTATTATCGTAATTGTATAGTATACTCTTCTAACGGGCTATTGTCGTAAGATCCTGTATCAATCGATCACTCTCTGGTAACTGACTAGAATCTTCCAGGAACCGTCTAGAACTTTCTGGTAACAAGCACATTCCAGTCATTTGTCGAACATGACCGTGTAACTTCCCAACGCGTTTTGGGAACCTTCTACTGGAGCAGCTATTGCAGTTCTAAACAGAAACACTGTTAATTTCTGTCAGAAGTAAGTGTCATTGTATTTTAAATAGTGTGCGTGTGTGCGTGTGTACGTGTGTGTGTGCCTGTGTGTGTTTTCTCAGTCAGTCCCCATTAAAAGGGAAAAATAATCTTTTCACTTCAAATCTCAACCTTGCATCTTATCAGACCCCAAACAGGAATGCTTTGAATATTAGTTAGGAGTGTTAATGTGCATGTGGGGGTGTTTGTGTATGCTTGTGCACACGCACCTGGGTCTGCTTTGAGCGCCGTCCAAAAAAGTGTAAATAACCTTAGTGAAAGAAGGGTATGTGTGTGAGCGAGCTGAGAGGAGAGCGAGCAGGATAAATAAAAGGACATCGTCGGGTAGAGTTGATGCTGGAGATGAAACACGCACAAAAAGACAATTGTCCTTGACGAGAAAGAGGAAGGCGCCAACTCGGCCGGTCTGTTCCGGTGTCGGGCTCAAGTTACCGTCAAGCACATGCTGGTAACTGTCAAGAAACATTCTGCTAACTGTCACATATTCTCTTATGGTACTCTGTAACATGTAACTGCGCTTTCTTGCTGTTTGTCGAGCACATTCCCACAATCCAATAAATGTCAACGTGCATCTGAAGTGGTCTTGCATGTTTTGGTCACTCTTTAGCAAATTTCGGTACCTTCAGTAAGTGTCGAGTATGTATGGTACCTTTTGAGGCACGTAAAATTTACCATTTAACATGCCTGACATATAAAGGTAACTGTCTAGCTGCTAGACAGTTAGTCGTATTTATATTTCAAACGCTTTCTGATAATTGTTTAGCATTTAACAAGAACTCTCTATGAACAGTCCTGTATGCTTTAACTGTTTAGCACATGATAACTGTCTAGCTTGTTACAGTAATGGACGTTCCCGGTAACTGTCTCGCACATTCTGGTAACTCTCTAGCACAGAGTCATTGTATTTTAAATAGTGTGCGTGTGTGCGTGTGTACGTGTGTGTGTGCCTGTGTGTGTTTTCTCAGTCAGTCCCCATTAAAAGGGAAAAATAATCTTTTCACTTCAAATCTCAACCTTGCATCTTATCAGACCCCAAACAGGAATGCTTTGAATATTAGTTAGGAGTGTTAATGTGCATGTGGGGGTGTTTGTGTATGCTTGTGCACACGCACCTGGGTCTGCTTTGAGCGCCGTCCAAAAAAGTGTAAATAACCTTAGTGAAAGAAGGGTATGTGTGTGAGCGAGCTGAGAGGAGAGCGAGCAGGATAAATAAAAGGACATCGTCGGGTAGAGTTGATGCTGGAGATGAAACACGCACAAAAAGACAATTGTCCTTGACGAGAAAGAGGAAGGCGCCAACTCGGCCGGTCTGTTCCGGTGTCGGGCTCAAGTTACCGTCAAGCACATGCTGGTAACTGTCAAGAAACATTCTGCTAACTGTCACATATTCTCTTATGGTACTCTGTAACATGTAACTGCGCTTTCTTGCTGTTTGTCGAGCACATTCCCACAATCCAATAAATGTCAACGTGCATCTGAAGTGGTCTTGCATGTTTTGGTCACTCTTTAGCAAATTTCGGTACCTTCAATAAGTGTCTAGCATGTATGGTACCTTTTGAGGCGCATAAGATTTACCATTTAACATGCCTGACATATAAAGGTAACGGTCTAGCACGATACGGAAACTGTCTATTTTGTTACTGTCTGGCACAGTCGTATTTATATTTCAAACGCTTTCTGGTGATTGTTTAGCATTTAACGAGAACTCTCTATGAACAGTCCTGTACGCTTTAACTGTTTAGCACATGATGAGAACTGTCTAGCTTGTTACAGTAATGGACGTTCCCGGTAACTGTCTAGCACATTCTGGTAACTCTCTAGCATAGAGCTACATTCCATCTTACCATAGAGCTACATTCCATCTTGCATGTTCCAGTAACTGTGTAGCGTGTTCCGCCGCTAGCTATGTAGCAGATTTCGGTAACTCTCTGCCGCACTTTTAAGAATTGTCTCGTCTTTTCTGGTAACTGTGTAGCACCCAGTAGCTGTTTTTACTTGTGATATAACGGTGTAAAAATAAGTGTCTAGCATGTATGGTACCTTTTGAGGCGCATAAGATTTACCATTTAACATGCCTGACATATAAAGGTAACGGTCTAGCACGATACGGAAACTGTCTATTTTGTTACTGTCTGGCACAGTCGTATTTATATTTCAAACGCTTTCTGGTGATTGTTTAGCATTTAACGAGAACTCTCTATGAACAGTCCTGTACGCTTTAACTGTTTAGCACATGATGAGAACTGTCTAGCTTGTTACAGTAATGGACGTTCCCGGTAACTGTCTAGCACATTCTGGTAACTCTCTAGCATAGAGCTACATTCCATCTTAGCATAGAGCTACATTCCATCTTGCATGTTCCAGTAACTGTCTCGATATGCTGCGTTAACTGTGTAGCGCATTCCGCTAGCTATGTAGCAGATTTTGGTAACTCTCTGACGCACTTTAAGAATTGTTTCGTCTTTTCTGGTAACTGTGTAGCACCCAGTAGCTGTTTTTACTTGTGATATAACGGTGTAGAACATTCCTACATACGAGTAACTGTCTAGCATATTTCAGTTACTAGCTAGCACATTCTACTAATTCAGACACTTTGGAATTTGTCTACTACCTGGTAACTGTCGAGCAAGTCCTGGTAACTCTCCACTGCATTTGATAACTCCCCAAGTAAGTGTCGAGTATGTATGGTACCTTTTGAGGCACGTAAAATTTACCATTTAACATGCCTGACATATAAAGGTAACGGTCTAGCACGATACGGAAACTGTCTATTTTGTTACTGTCTGGCACAGTCGTATTTATATTTCAAACGCTTTCTGGTGATTGTTTAGCATTTAACGAGAACTCTCTATGAACAGTCCTGTACGCTTTAACTGTTTAGCACATGATGAGAACTGTCTAGCTTGTTACAGTAATGGACGTTCCCGGTAACTGTCTAGCACATTCTGGTAACTCTCTAGCATAGAGCTACATTCCATCTTAGCATAGAGCTACATTCCATCTTGCATGTTCCAGTAACTGTCTCGATATGCTGCGTTAACTGTGTAGCGCATTCCGCTAGCTATGTAGCAGATTTTGGTAACTCTCTGACGCACTTTAAGAATTGTTTCGTCTTTTCTGGTAACTGTGTAGCACCCAGTAGCTGTTTTTACTTGTGATATAACGGTGTAGAACATTCCTACATACGAGTAACTGTCTAGCTGCAACACATTTCAGTTACTAGGTAGCACATTCTACTACTTCAGACACTTTGGAATTTGTCTAGTACCTGGTAACTCTCCACTGCATTTGATAACTCCCCAACACGTGCTGGTACTTCTCGACCACATTTCCACATTCTGGTGATTGTCTAGCTAGCACATGTAAACTACACTGTACCATTATTTTTCTTCCTATTTTCTTTAACTAGCAACCAAAGATTTCTACTGATTTTGAAAGGGAATGCTGGAGCGATCCATCACAGCCATACTAGAACATCCGCACAATTATCCTGGCTTATTTGGTTTTATGAGTTATTGGCGCCTTTGAAATGCAGCTCTTCAACAGTTAAACACAGCCTCATTACGGAAAATAAACAAAGGGGCTAAATCTCTCCAGCGTTGCGTCGTATTGTTGTTAGGAGCAAAAGCCTCGGCGAACCGCCAACGCGCTGATTTATTCGGCAAATTAGCAGCAATGCTCATTAATGAATTCTCTTATTCTGTGTACAGTACGCCTGTTATTCAACCGCACTGGGCAGGAAATGGTAAAAACTAGATAAATGCAGCATTATGTTCTGTGACATCCTCTTGATTCTCACATTTATCTCACATGTGAATTACGTGGAACATCGCATGTTTTCCAGAAGTTGTTTAAATAGAGCGTAATGTGTACAAATGAGTCATGTTTGGTCATGCGTGGACTGCGAGCGTATGTCATTATTTGCACGCATGCCTGACTGAAATGTTCATTTGCACCCAGGCAAATCAACATTATTAACACAGAGAGTGAGAGTATTTAAAAAAGGGGCTCTGCTTAGGGTTTAAAGCAAAGCTTAAGGTTTCAAATGAGAGTTTCAGGCCAGGTTTAAGGTTTCAAACAAGGGTCAGAGTTTCAAATTGAGGTTCTGAGCCAGGGTTGGGGTTGAAAGTCTTGATCGGGTTTAAAATTAACTGGAAGACAAGGATTAAGGTTTTATATTACCCAGGGGAAAGGTTACAAACAAGGGTAATGGTTCCAAGTTAGGGTTTTAAGCCTGGCTTGGGGTTTCAAACACACGTGACAGTTTCAGATCTAGTTTTGAAGTCAGAGTTCGGATTTCAGATTAGCGTTTAAAGCCAGTTTATGGTTTCGAATGACAATTTGAAACAAATTTCAGGTATAGTTTTCATAATTGAGTTTAAAACCTGTATTAGGGTTTCAGGGTGAGGTGTTAAGCCCGGGCTCGGGTTTCATTTGAGCTTTTCAAAGTACAACTCTCTTCGCATTTGAGTTTGAAGGCCAAGTTTGAAAGTTGTTGTGTGTACGATTGATCATCCGTCTTGTGGTGACACAGAATGACAAAAACAAATAACACGCCATCACATAAACAGCGTGTGACCTTTTTCTTTGTCATTTTTCACGGCTGCGACACCACACCTGAGACAACTTTTTTTTTCTCCCTTCTCCATCACTTAAGGCTTCATTCCATGTCACTGTGCTCAGCTGATGCTGAAATAGACTGAAACACATGATCGGTGAAAATCCGCATCGGAGAGTGGCCATATACGAAACTCTTAATGAGCAATCCGCTTATTGATTTTTCTCTTCCTCGAGATGGCTTCAAGGTAATCGTGACTAATTGTTTAGCAATCAGAACTGTCTAGCGCACATTGCGCATTCTGCTAACTTGCACCCAGTAACTGTTTTTGACATTCCCACAACTGTCGAGCACATTTCTACACTGCAGAAACTGTCAAGCATGTGCTCGTAGCTGTCTATGTACGTTCCAGTGAGCAATCGTCGAGTGTACGGAGTCTCAGCATTGATGTCCTTACCCACAATAAGAGTATATCGGGTGAACACAACACAATACCGTGTGCTCATCCTGTCTTTCATTCATTTAGTTGCCGCAGACTAATAGACGGCGGGAGCCAACACTGGCCGTTCATCATTTCTCCACGAGACTTTTCCTTGACATTGATGCACATTTAATTTGCCCTCATCGGGAAGCTTTAGCTTGGCAGGCTAACGCTTTAAATGAATGATTGGAAGGTTCTCTATTGCCTGCCTGCCTGAGTGTGTGTGTGTGTGTGTGTGTGTGTGTGTGTGTGTGTGTGTGTGTGTGTGTGTGTGTGTGTGTGTGTGTGTGTGTGAGTTTAAGTGCAGAATGTTTCTCAGTTTGCTTAGGGGCTACTGGAGGGTGAACATTAACATTCTAAGATTTATTTTCAACTTTGAATAGTATCAAGGAAAGCCACAATTTGAAGATTTTTCTTCTTGTTGTACTCAATTGGTTGTTGACGCATTTAGTAGTTTTGCTTGTGTTTTTGGTTGGTTATGTAGTCGATTGATTGGTTGTCTGGTAGTTTATTTGCTTGAAGGATCGGTTGCTTGGTTAGTTGATTCTTTATTTTGATTTAGTTTTTTCTTTTGCAGTTCCATGTGACGCAGACTGTCAATCATGTTCCGGGACTCCCGATCACTGTGACAGCTGCAAGGATCCGAAGGCCGTCCTCCATCTTGGTCACTGTCTGTCCGTTTGTCCCAGCGGTTTCTTCCCCGACGGCCCAAAGTGTGCAGGTATTTTCTGACTTGACTGCCTTATTCCAAATTCTATTCAATTTGTTTTCTTCTCAATATTCCACCTGCAATTTCAGTCAGATGCACTTGACGTTCTCATTTTGTTGATTAATTGAAATCTCTGCGAGTTTCCCCATAATCAATTAAGTTAAAATACACCATCATCACATTGAAGCATTTAATTTAATATTTGCAAATTTGCTAAGGATGAAAAAGCACATATGTCTGAAATCATATGCATTCTCATTCTACATATTTGCTGTTAACCATGTCACGCTTAAAAAACAAAAAGCACAGCCTGGTAGTGACAAAACATTTTCTTTCATCCTGTTTTTTTTTCCTGTTTAAATACTTCGAACCACATAAACTGTTCTGCAAGTTACTTGAGTTGAATTACGCCTTAATTTTTCTTTGACATTCTTACTTCTCCTACCACCCTTGAGGAATTGCATTACACGTGGATGTTTGGGCCAGTTAAAGTCAGTATATTTGCGCAAAATAAATCAAAAATCCCACGCGCTGAATATACATGATGAATATGCATAAATGCATACTTAAGTCATCATTTAGCCTGGCATCCATCATGCTTGGCTGAGGCCGCGTCCTTCAATTATTCAGCCGACATCACAGAAGGCTGAGTTGCACCTTCAACCAGCAAGCAAGCCCTTTCAACGTTCGACTCCGACATTCAAAGGGAAATTGGGGGAAGCCATGCCACGTCTTCGTCCCACCTTGACCCGGACGGGGCGTCTTTGAGATCTTTGCTTTTTTTGCACCAGCTCTCGTGACTTTTATGACCCATTCAGCCATCAATAGCAGCGCCGTAAAAGCTATCAGACGAGAAAAGCCGAATGAGAGAATGAGACACTGATGTTAGCAATCATAAACGGTGACGTTTTGCTCATCGTTTCCAGCGACTGATTTTTGCGCCACGAAATGCTCATACTAGTGTAAACATTGTTACTATTGATGTATAAAAACAATCAAATATTATGCGTCATTTTCACGACAGTGGCATAGTGTGTAGCTGAATCCCCCCCCCCCTTTTTTTTTGTCCTAATGTTTTTAGTCTACCACAAAATTGTACAGTAAATATAAAATAAAATGGCGGACGTTTAAAAAAAAAAACCAAAAAAAAACCCCGGAACAATTCTGAATGAGCTTTTTGCCATTTTAAAAGTGCAACAACTCGATGGCCTCAACTTTCACCCATTAGACTTTTCTTCTACGGCGCTTGTCCACCTCGCACAAACTCGACCACTCGACCTTATTCGCATATTTCAGCGCAGCGGGTCATCTCCGAACTCTCTTTTTCGCTCGCGCTTTTCTGATGTAAGCAGAAGCTGTATTTTTCTCACCAAACTTGTCTGAGAGTAAATGTCAGCTCTGAAATAGTGTAAGTGCACCTCGGTTGGAGGCGGCGAGTGGGGGGTGGGGAAAAAAAATTCGGATCAATAAAAAGGTGAACTTTGTTGACTACTAAATTTCAAAGATGGCTGTGGGCTCCGCTCGGCGGCGCAGATAAAGCCGATAAAAGACGATTTAAATGCGTCGTAAAAGTCAGAAGTTTGCAGACGGAATGCACAAGTTTTCGTCGTGGCCCGCTGCACTTCGAATCACATCAAAATAAAATTGCTCCCGGAGGAAATCATGGAAAGAGAAATCATCGAAAAAGTGTCGCCATCAGTTGACCAAAAAAGTTGACGCGCACAGAAAACAGAAACAATCAAATCATCATTACGCAAAAGGCAAAAGCTTTATGCGGCACATCATTATCAACAATATAATCACATTTAGCCTTGTCACTATTAGCATGATCCGATTTGGAATTATTTGAATGATTTTTCATACAAATATTTTATACATTTATATTTTATGTATTTTTTTTTTTAATTGTTTGACACTACCTTGTATTTTTGTCATTTTATTGGTGTATTCATTCTTATTATACTTTTTACCACATTAATATTAGGAGTGCAGTAGTGTTACTAGTAATAACTCATGTTAAGTAATAATATTCAAAGTGTTGTATCATGCATTTTTAATTTGATATATTTTAATTGGTACTATTTAATGTTATTTGAATATATTATTCTTTATTTTATGATTATTTTTCTACTCGTTTTCTTGTTTGTACCTTCTCTCATCTGCTCCTTCTCATTGCACAAACAAACAAACAAAAAAAAAAACAGAAGCCAAGGAATAACAACGACCAAAAAAGTTTATACTTGAAGCTGACTGAACTGAGTTGTCGCGTCCTCCCGTGTGACATCCCAAAATCGGATGACAACTTCTCTCAGTGTCATCAAGCGTCTTTTTATGTTGCCCTTTTTGTGTCCGCAGACTGCCCTCCGTCTTGCGCCGTGTGCAGCAGCAGGTGGTCGTGTCAGGCGTGCCACCCGCAGCGCCCCCTGCTGAGCGCCGATGGCAATCAGTGCCTGGCGACCTGTCCCGCCGGCACCTACCAGGACAACCGTAAAAAGCAATGCAGACGTGAGTTCCATTTTGGATTTCCCCCGACTCGACACTCGCCTCGTGTTTGTCCCGGTTTTGCTCGCTTTCCTTTGTTTGTTTAATCATGATGATGATTTTTATTTTATTTTTGGGGGTTCAGTCACGATTCCACAAAAAGTGAAGCAGTGCTTGGATGAGTCACGTCAACTTGCTGTGCCTTGTTTCCTTTGCATTGATTGCTTATTGATTCCTCCGCCGGGGTTCCCGACGTCATTTATTGATCTTGACGCTTTTTTATTTGGAAAGTAGGACGTGAGGTACCGACAGCCGCAGGTTAGCAACAAGTTTCAAAAGGAAAGGCACAGCATGAGAGCACCCGGCGGCACCATAAAGTGCTTTGACGCAGGCTATCCAGCACCGTCAAGTGCTTTTCAGCAAGGTTCAATGTGAATTATTTTTGATTTGGTGAACTTTAATTTGGAGTCCTTAATGCAGACTCATTGTATTCTGGCAAGCTTTAATACAGCCTCTTTCAACTATGTGAGCTTGACTATGGGCTCATGCGGACTCATTTCAGTGTGCTTTAATGCAGACTCTTTCAAAACCAGTGAGCTTTCATGTAGATGCTTTGAATTTAGCCGAGCTCTTGACTATGTGAGCTTCACTGAATGCAGACCCATTTCAGGGACATTTAATGCTGACTCTTAAAGTTCCAGTTTGCATTATTGCTTTCGGCAAGCTTTCATTTGAACTCTTTCCATTTGAGTGAAACTAAATTCAGAACCTTTCAATTCCATTGAGCTTTAATGCAGATGCTTTGAATCCTGGTGAGTCTTATAGAAGAATCGTTCAATTCCGCTGAGCTTTATTGCAGACTCTTGCATTTAATGCTGACTCTTTCAGTTCCAGTTTGCATTATTGCTTTCGGCAAGCGTTCATTTGAACTCTTTCCATTTCAGTGAAACTAAATGCAGTGAGCTTTAATGCAGATGCTTTGAATCCTGGTGAGTCTTATAGAAGAATCGTTCAATTCCGCTGAGCTTTATTGCAGACTCTTTCAATTCAGCGAGCTTTAATGTGGACTTTTTCGTTTCCACTTAACTACAATGCAGACCCTCTAAATTTCAGTCAGCTTTAATGCGGACATTTTTGGAGTTCCTTTAGATTCAACGTAGACTCTTGGCAGTTTCACTTCTCTCAAACCAGAATCCCTTCTGTTTCAATGAGCTTCAAAACGGAGGGATTCGTTTTCAGTGAGCTTTAATGCAGACTGCCTCGATTCAAATGAACTTTAATGTACATTCTATCGTTTTCAGCAAGCCATCTGATTAAGAAGACATTTTTTGAGTTCCTTGGGATTCAATGGAGACTCTCGGCAGTTTCACTTATCTCAAACCCGAATCCCTTCTGTTTCAATGAGCTTCAAAGCGGAGGGATTCGGTTTCAGTGAACTTAAATGTGGACTCTTTCAATTTCACTGAGCTTTAATGCAGACTGCCTCGTATTCAATGAACTTTAATGCACATTCTATCGTTTTCAGCAAGCCATCTGATTAAGACATCAAATTGCAGCTCTGATTTTCCTTTTTTGCAGAGAGATTTACCCGGTATCACAGTCTTACCCACAAAGCTTGTGACGGCATGAAAGCGTGCGCGGTGGCGGCAATTATCCACTTGGATTGTGCGTGAAAGACACAGGCCAAGAAGTAAGCGTGTTTAATAATGCAGTCCAATCTAATGTTGGATGACTTAGCGGCATTAAATATTACGGCTTGAATTCCCGCACTAAACCTCGGGGAACGTAACAATAAAATTGCAGCGCCGCGTGATGGATCGGTTTTATAACCTTGACAGAAGGAGGCGGCAAGAGAGGCGGGAGACTCGTTTGCTCTCGTGCCGTCCGCGCCGCCATTAATCAGGCAATCTGCCCCGGAGGTCCGCTCGTACCATCCAGCCAGGAGCGATAAGTAAAAGCCGACTGAGGAGGAGGAGGAGAACAAGCCCCCGCGGGCGCGCTAATATGCTAACGTGCTCCGAACGGCTTTGGCTGCCGCGTCTCTGGAAGACAAGACGGGCAGGCGACGTTTGGGTTGTATCTCGCAGCGTGTTGAGCATCGTGGAGACGACCCCGCGTCTGTGACGAGAAGACGGCCGCACGCCGCGTTTTCCCGTACGGCTTGATGTGGCAAAGCCTCACGTTGCCGTGGCACCACGTCGTGCATTTGTGCTGCCGATGCCGCGGCGTAATTCCCCACGCACACATTAATCGAGCCGCCTTTAATGCGAATCATATTGCGCAAAGAGCGAATAACTGCTCTGGCGAGCGCTCTCGCACCCTCCGTTCAGCCGTCGAAGGTCCAACGCCATCTGGCTGGATTTGGACTCTCTCAAATTGTGAGATTTAGTGTGGACCTTTTCAATGCCACTGAGCTTTCTTTTCATCTCGATGAGCTGCAATGCGGACTCCTTCACTTTGTCAACTTTAATGGGGGCGCTTTCCATTTCAGTGAGCTTCAATGCAAACTATTTTGAAGTTGGCGAACAAGAATGCACTCTTTTCGTTTCAGTGATCTTTGTGAGCTTCGGTGTGAACTATTTCCATTTCAGTGAGCTTTAATATGGGCTCTTAATTTCAGTGTGCTCAAATAACCAATCTTGTTTTGAATGAACTCTCACGTTTGTGAGCTTTGATATGAACGCTTTCAATTCGGGCAAAATCGAACGTGTACTTCTTCAAATTTCTTATTAGCTTTACATCCTGGAACCCTTTTTCAGTTTTCGTGGCCTTTCATGCAGACTCCAATTTCAATGAGTTTTAATTCTGGTTGCTTCAATTTGAGCGAGCATTACCGTGTCCTCCTTCATATCTGAGAAAGCTTTTATGCACTCACCTTCCATTTGAGTCTCAATTTTAATCAGCTTTCAAGCAAACTCTCTCATGGTGACTCAGCTTTAATGCTGACTGTTTTGCAGGCCCAGTGAACTTTGAAAGTGTCTGCATTAAATCTCACCAAAACTGTTTTTAAGATGAAGGCAATGGAGACAGACATTTGTTTCGGTAAACTTTAATGCGGACTCTGAGCTTCCTCCCAACTTTTTGAGCTTTAATGCGAACCGTTTCAAACTCTGAAGAGCTTCAATGCAAGCTCTTTCAATTTTAGTGAGCTTCGATGCGGAGCGTTTCGATTTCAGAGAGTTTTATGATCTTGTCCTGTCTTGTGGTGCATGTGAGAGGATGCGCCTGGAAAGGTTCCCAGCAGACGGTAGCTTATCTTGGCAGAAGGGGCAGGACCACCCAGAAAAAAAAACAAAAAGACTTTCTCGTACAGAAGACCCCCTGTGGTGTGGTTGTGTCGCTGGCTCACACTTTACTGCTGCGGCATGTAAACAATGTTGGCATGTTAATAACACTGAGGAGGCGTCGCCTAGGAGACGCTTTTGTTCTTAGGACAAGAACATTATTCATATCCCACTCTGGAGTTTACCCAGCAACAGCATTTAGGAGCCTGCAACCGAAAGACTGCGCATAATCTCCAGGAAATTAATCGCCATATAAATTTTAGCAGGCATATCTATCATGAGATTTGGTTGGCATGTCCTTTATGTGGAGACTCACCAAAAAGTCTCAAGAAGCCTGGCGGGTGAGGAGGGGAAGTCTCTCATATTGGTTTGAGACCGACCTTTAAGACGACTATTGCCTCTTCGAGGGTTTTTGAAAAACCTGAGCCTATGGTTTATTTCACTCAGCAACATAAAACTTGGCGGTCGATCAAAAATAGAACCACCAGAAAAAAGCTTGACACAGATTGATTTACAGTGGTCCGACAAAGACAAATGAACTTTTGTTTTGAAAGTCCCTGAAATCTGTCTCACTTAACATGAAATTTAGCAGCCATGTATATCACGAGTTGAGCCACCAAAAAGTCTCAAGAACCCATGCCTGAAAAGATACAGAAAGTCTTGACATTTGACTTTGAAGCTACCATTTTAGCCTAATTTACCCCGAGGCATCCTTTAAAGACAAACCTCCCGGAGAGTTTTTGGAAATCCAGCGTCCAAAATCCATTTCACTCAGCAACATGAAACTTGATCAGGATAGTTATCCTGAATAAACCCACCAAAAAAAAAAAGTCTAAAAAGATTTCTCGCCTGAAATGACAAGGGAGGTTTGACATTTCGGCTTCAAACAGTCCTTTGACTCTTTCCAAAGGTCCCCCAAAGACAAACTACTCATGCGATAGACTGTTGGATGAGATTAAATTACAAATAATGAGATTTTTCCTTATTGCGTGTGAATGGAGCGCGGCGGGTCAATGACTCCAATGATTTGCCTCACCTCCTGACCTGGCTAACCAACTGGAGACTTATGGAGGTGAGGGCTATAGTTATCCTGGTGGTAACACAGGTAGCAAGCACAGGTGAAACGGAAGCAAAGTGAAGATGACATACATTTAAAAGTCAAATAAGCGGGATGTATAAAACGCATCCAGACGCGCAAGCCTGCAAGTAGAACTCCCAGAGACGAGACAAAAGTAGCACATAAAACCTCTGCAGTGGTTTCCTCCAAAGGAAGAGGAAACTCTTTGATATATTGTTTTGATGAAGCGATGATTTGAATGTTTTGACTTTTATGTCGGGATTCTGTAAATAAGAGCGGGACTACTTTGCTATTTTTCATAGTGATAGTTGACAGGTCACCGGAGGCCTGCTTTGCCCTGATTTTACTCAACAACAGGAAACCACCTATGTACCGTGGTTGCATGTTGTGGAAAAATGGATTTGTTCCGATGAAGACAAAGTAACTTGAAACTCGTGCTCCCCACTACTACAGAAGTTGGAGAACTCCAGGTTTATTCGACAGAATTCTCCATTAGCCTCGTCGGTACCGTTTCCTATTCGATGTTCACCATTCCTGTTGCCCTTCTGTGAGGGCAGGCCAAAAAAGCCCAAGAAAAAGCAAAACACAACTGGACATTTTAGTCACTGTATTATGTTTTTTTTTGCATCATTTAAAATCATCAGTTTAGTCAGGAAAAGAAAAATAGTCCCGGTTGTTAATGTTATTGTTGATGGATTCTGATCCTCTTTCCAAAGCTGCTTTGTCTGCGCTCGCTTTAATAGGCCAAGTTCTGATCTTATTAGGAGAGATTCAGCTTTGGTGCTTTGTACTAGTGGTAGTAGTGTGTGTGTGGGGGGGGGGGGGTAATCTTGTGTCCGCACCTCATCCAGGATAATTTGGTTGGGGGGGGCTTTGGGCCTACTCAGATTACACATGCTGATAACGTTTTGGATTGCAGCTGCACAGGAAAAATAAATTGCTTTCCGTGCAAAGGGGCAAAGTAAAGGACGCGTAATCCCCCTCGTGGGCCACAACCGACGTCGGGTGGGGGTGTGTGTACAAGACACACGGTCATAAATAATACATTGCAATGTTATATTAAAGCTCAAAGGCCCTGGTGTTCTCGGTTTTCATGCAATCATCGCATTTTGACACCATGCTTTGAACCCATGCTGGATGGTGGAGGCAAAAACGTTTCATAATATGGCGTCAGCCGTCTGTTGAGGAGACCTACTACGAATTTAGACTCATTTTAGTGAAGTTCCAAGTAAGAGTTTATGCTCCGCCCAAAAAAAAACAAAAACAAAAACGAGAACCCTGGAACGTGCCCAAAATGGCTGACTTCGAACCAAAATGGCTGACTTCCTCTTCGATTTTGGATATGAGTCCAGGCATTTTTTAGTGCATCTTGTTTCGTTAGACTGCCGAATTTGTTGTTTGCGCATCAATCACGTCTGGGTGTTTGTACCGCCAGGTTGTTCCGAGTCGTGCTCCGAGTGCGTGGGTGCGAGCCCGCGAGAGTGCTCGTCATGTTCCGACCCAGCCGCCTTGCTCAAGGACGCCGAGTGCGTTCTCGACTGCGGCGAGGCTTTCTACAGTCAGGATGGCGTCTGTCACGGTAAGTGCGGCTCACATCTTCATCTGAACGGCTGCTACTTCCTGCTAATGGAAGCTAACACGCCCCCTATGTGTTGCCAATGGAAGCTAACGGGCCTGCTACTTGTTGTTAATGGAAGCTAACGCGCCCGCTACTTGTTGCTAGTGGAAGCTAACGCGCCTGCTACTTCCTGCTAATGGAAGCTAACGCGCCCCCTACTTGTCGCTAATGGAAGCCGAAGCGTGTTATTACAAGAGCTTGACAGGCAAAGGATTGGAAGTAGTTATGTTACTTAGTTAGTTGTTAGTTTGTCACTCAGTTCAAAAATCAAGGTAACTGATTCGGTAGTTATTTAGTTGGTCATTTACTTCTTCTTCTTCTCCTTTCGGCACGTCCCTATTCAGGGGTCGCCACAGCGATTCAGTAATTTCCATCCGCCCCTGTAAACCGTCCTACCAACTCGCATGGTCGTCTTGGCAAAAGGTTTACGCCGGATGCCATTCCTGACGCAACCCTCCCCATTTCTCCGGGCTTGGGACCGGCACTGGGGAACAGTGCACCCCCAGGGGAGGGCACTGCCCCCCAGCGGCTGGGTTCTAGTTGGTCATTTACAATTGATAGTTATTTACCAAGTCAGTTAAAAAAAAAAAAAAAATCAGTCAGTCACTTGTGCATCCGAAGTTAATTAGTTGTTGAGTTAGGCAGTGGGCCAATCTGTCAGTTATTTATCGAGTTAGTCTGTTGATAAATTGGGTGTTTTGTAATGTTGATTACGCAAATACTTGACACATTTCTGTGAGGCAACATTTGATGTCTTGTAAACCATTTTGCTTAGTTGATGGTGACTTCAGTGTAGCTGTCTGGAAATGTCTGATGCTTCACATTAAGAACGTCTCGCACACTCTGCGAGTGCGTGTGTGTGTGTGTGTGTGTGTGTGTGTGTGTGTGTGTGTGTGTGTGTGTGTGTGTGTATGTGTATGTGTGTGTGTGTTTGTGCAAGCGTCCATCGCAAAGGTCAGAGTTATCAGTCACTTGAGCGGTCGCAGTGAAAATGTCACAGTCGGCTCCCTGCCGGAGGACTCTTGACTTCTTCTTGACTCGTCCTCCTCGGGGTCTCCGAGGCCGCGTCCATTTCAACTCTCGTCTCCTATTAAAACTTAAGTTCCACATTTATTTTCTCACCTTTTGCTCCACGGCATAATTGACTTATATGAGATGAGAACTCCACTTTTGGGCGACAAGTGACCACGGTGAACAAAGTCACAGGTACAGCGAGTGAGCGTGCGAGTATGGAGTGACCAATTTGCCAGAATGACCTTCAGTTAGAAGTTACTGCTTCTATTTTTAGTTGCCTTCGATCTTGGGAGATTGAAGTTTGAGTCTAAATTGAGAAGGATGGGAAATGTCCACATGCGGATCAAAGACTCGCACACATAGCGCGCTTCAACTTTCAACGCTTCTGACTTGGCGCTACCTGCGGCATGCAACACTTTTCCAATTAGCCTCAGCAAAAATGAGCAACATCTGCGCCGAAATTGCTGCCTTGCATCGCGTGGAGGTGGACACCGGTCTTCGCGTTTAACGTGAGTCTTTGATGTCTTTGATGACTTTGGCAGCATGCCACCCGTCTTGCGCCTCCTGCTTCCCCGACAAGCCCGACTGCGTGAGCTGTCCGCCGAGCGGCATGTTGCATCATGGGAAATGCCTGCCGGCCTGCCCCGCTCGGCACTATGGCGATCACAGCAGCAGGTGCAGAGGTAACGTGTGAACAAAAGTATTTTGTTTCTTTAACGCCCCTGCTTATTTTCAGCAAGACAATGGCAGAGCACATTCAGCACATGTTAAGTAGCGAAAGTGTACTAGACTGGCCTGCCTGCAGTCCAGACCTGTCTCCCATTGAAAATGTGTGGCGCTTGATAAAGCATAAAATACAACAGCGGAGTCTGTTGAACTGCTGAAGCTGCACATCGAACAAGAATGGGCAAGAATTCCACCTACAAAGCTCCAACAAATAGTGTCCTCAGTTCCCAAATGTTTATTAAATGTTGTTAAAAGAAAAAAATATGTAACTGTGGTAAACATGACCCGGAATGTGTTGCAGCCATAAAGTTCTCAGTTCATGATTATTTCCTTCAAAACACCTAACATTAAATATCTTGTCTTTGGGGTGTATTCAGCTAAATATGGTTGAACAGGATTTGCAAATATTGTATTCAGTTTTTTATTTGTTTAATACTACTTCCCTGCTTCACTGGAATTGGGTTTGTGTGTGTATCTATCTATCTATCTATCTATCTATCTATCTATCTATCTATCTATCTATCTATCTATATCTTTCTTTCTTTCAAAAACATATTCTTGGTGTGCCTCCAGGCTGCCACAGCTCGTGCGCATCATGCTGGGGTCCGTCGGCGTCTCAGTGCACGTCGTGCGCACAGGACCTCCTCCTCCACCAGGGGCAGTGCGTGGAGGCGTGTGGCGAGGGCCTGTACCCTCACGCCCACACCTGCCACAGTAAGCGCATCCAGTAACATCCATCCATTTCTAGGACGTCGGCTGATGTAACTTGCTACACTTTGCGTGCGTGCGTGCGTGCAGACTGTCACCCGTCGTGCCGCTGGTGCGTGGGCCCTCTGGCCTCGGACTGCCTGCGCTGCCTCAAAGCCGCCGAGGTGCTCGCCCCGCAGTCGCGTGACCTTCACCCTCCGCGCGGAGTCTGCGCAGCAGCCTGCCCCGCCAACGCCTACGCCGACCACCGGCGCACTTGCGCAGGTAACGTACAAACACGCAATTGAGTGAGCCAGTCAGACAGTCAGTTAGTCACCGTTCATCAGATTGGCCATCACACACCCTGTCGACTGGATGACTGCAAACGGACACAATCGTTTTTTTCGGGCTCCATAAATGGTCATTTACAAGCGTGTTTGTTGAGATAGGTCGCCAGTAAGTCGTCAAATCATCAGATGCTTCGCCTAAATATGCTCAAGCAATATCCTCGCGCTGAGGTGTTTTACCCCGGTCGCTGTCGTCATTCGTGTCATGCAGGAAAATTGTCAAAATGAAGTCTGCCGGGCAACAATGTTGTCGTCTACGATCGCGCGATATGCCAACACCGGTTTGCTGATAGAAACGTCGATCCCTCTCTCTCACGGCGTCACCGTGCTTGTGTGCGTTTGAAAATGGGGTTCTGTGAAATTGTTGTTTGTAATGGCCTCATTTTTAAGGTACTTTTAGTGCGCGCACGCGCACACACACACACACACACACACGCACACACACACACACACACACACACACGCACACACACACACACACACGCACACACGCACAGCTCCTTCCCGACAGCCTTTTTTCTCCCAATACATTCAGCAGGACAACAACAAAGAGGGGGGAAAAAAAGTCAGTGGAGTGTGTTTTGTTTGTCCACTAAGTGACGGTGTGAAATTGTATCCACTTAGCAGCCGTCTCCGCCTTTGAGGGTCATCCCACGTTCAGCAATACGCTTTTTGGCAGCCGATGTTTTTTACTTTGGTTTTTTTATATATATCAATGAAGCATTGTTTCTATAATCCACTTATTATGAAATATCAGATATTTACATCGCATTGTGTCATGAATTGATCTTACTTGAGGATCACAAATCGGATGTTGACGCTGCGCAGAAAGTGAAGGAAACCATTTTTAGTTCTCAAGCTCAATTATCTTTAATCACCAGTCTTATGAAGAGAAATTCTATTTTAGCTTGTACATTTATTTATACGAACCCCCCCCCCCAACACACAACGTTTTTCAACAGCCACACATCTAACATTCCCTACAACTTTTTTTTTTGTGCATTGTGTCCATGTCAAATGTTATATTTGTGTCTGGCACGGGCCAATAACAAATGATCTTCACTGTTTGCTATGACTGTGAAAAAAAGATTGTTATTCTTCTATACAAATGTCTGTATTGGTCAGGTACGAATAGTTGTGGTGTGTGGGTGGGGTTTTTTGGGGTTGTTTTTTTTTTTTTTGGCAGCTTTCTTTCTGGCAGCGAGTGCCGCGGGAATGATTGCAAATCGATGGGCAGCATTTGGCTTTGTTCGCCTTCATTCGTTTCGGTGACCTTGTGGGACAAACGTGGCGCTGGCGTGCCCTCAAATTCAATTGTTGTTGTTTCTTCTTGTAAAAGAGCACAAAAGTCCTCCAGATGTGATCGAGGGAGGCCGAACTGCCCAAATGACGGCCTTTGCGCGTTAGCTGAAATGAACAAAGACAATAATTCTGTTTTTTTTTGGGGGGGGGGGGCAAAACATTTGGTTCATCAAAGACCACATTGCCTTTGATACTTGGGAAAAACATGTTTGTTGAAGTTAGTTTGGACTTAATCATTTGGTCTTGGTTCGTTAGGTTGTATTGAAGACTAAAATCTCTTTTGCTATTTATGAAAACGCATGAGGCTCATTGGAGATTTTACATTAGCTGAGATGTTTATCAAAACATATGTTCGGTTCATTGAAGACAAAATCAGTTCTCAAAACATGCCCCTTAGGTTTTGCTCCCAAATGACATTGAAGGCTATCAAAACTTTGATTTGCTTCCTGCAATTGCCTTTGCAAAACACACACAAAAAAAAACAAACGAACAAAAACCCACTAAGGTCACCAAAGACAAAAACGTGTCTTTGATGTTTACAAAAACCTGCTGGGCTCTTAAAGTCTAAATTGTCTTCGGCCTTTGCAAAGTAAACCTCGTGTTGGCTCCTTGAAAACTCTGAATTGCTTTGGATGTTCCTGAAAAATGCTCAACTGAAGACTAAAATGTCTTCGATGTTTATTATTAATTGTGTTTGATTGATAGAATTGCCTGTGTTGCTGTACAACTGTGTGTTGTGTGCGCGTGCGTGTGTACGCACCTTCTCCTCCTCCACTGCCCCGAAGCGATGTACGGAGATGGAGCGTGAACAAGCACACCAGACTGTCACACTCCAACATTTACACTTGCGCACACGCACGAGTTGGAGATGACAAGTTCCCAGAGAACGCAAATTCCAGGCTACACGTCCCACTTGTCTCCTGTCAGAGACTAAGAAATCCACGTGTGTCATAATTATTGTTCCCACTCTATCTGTTCCTATGAAGACTAAAATGTCTTTTTTTATAGAAATGTCGGTATCATTGAATGGAAATTTACCTTTGACAAAAATGTCAGTTTTTCTCTCAGACTCAATTGTCTAACATTGACAAAAAAAAAAATCTCAGTTTGGTTGCGTGTTCATTTGGCTTTGATGTTTACGTAGACAAAAACCAAAATTGTCTCCGAGATTTACAAAAGCACCAAGTGTTTGGAAGACTTACTTGTCTTTGAGTTTTCTGAAAAAACAAAATTAATAATAATATTTTGCATGCACATGTGTGTAAACGCGCGAGCGCGAGTTTGCTCTCTGGCATAAAATGTATAAATCAGGGCCGCCCGCTTCGATACTGAACTCAATGCATCATTTCAATCGTTGCTGCAAAATCAGCCTCATCGACTGGCAAAAATTGTCCCGAATCAGCGGGAAAGTGAGTAATGAGGCTGATTCCGTGCAAGAGGGCGCGCTTGATAATGCGTCAAGCCAGCGAATGCTCGTATTAATCAATTCGCGCTCCGACTTTATGTATCACACTTTAGTGGGAGATGAGAGCGCACTGAGGAATCTCAAAAAGCTTGGCCTCGCGATCTGGAAACGTTCCGTTTCGTACCGCAGTCCCAAGAAAAATCATTTGCTTTCACTTTCAGTCAGCTTTCTTTGCCAGGAATTGAGTCGGCGCTTGGGTTATTTATACCAAGCGCATTGGGTTGACAACTCAATGCTATGCTGTACAGGAAAACACATTGGGTTTATTGAGCACCTACTTGTCTTTGATTGTTGCAAAAAAAAAAAAAAAAAAAAGCAACCAAAATGCTACCCGCAGTGTGTAAAAGTGGACATGCGCTTTCTTGAGGTGTCTTTGATGTTTATAGAAATGCACAATAAGTTAATGGACAACAAAGGCTTCATTGAAGATTCCCTCGTCTGTGATTTGGTGTATTGGTTGTCCTCGTTTGCAAAACAGACTTCAGGGTCACGGAAAACAAAATTGTCTGATGTTTACAAAAATGCACGTTGTGTTAATTGAAGGCTTGAAACTGTCTTTGCTGCTTACAAAAAACATGTTCGTGTGTATGGAAGACTAAATTGTCTTTAATACGTACAAAAATGCCTGTCGTGTTCATTGAACACTTGAAATTTCCTTTTTCAAAATGCACACAAGGTTCATTGAAGAGTCTGAAATTGTCTTTGAAGTTTGACTCACACGCTTTTGGTTTGTTTAAAACATTTTCTTTTCTGTCTTTGATGTTCAGTCAGGTGAATTGATTACCAAATTAGTCTTTGTTTACAAAGTGGGCATTAGCGTCGCCAATGACGTAGTTCTCCTTGACATTTCCAAGAGGTACATCAAAATGTACTTGGAAAAAGTCTTTGAGGTCAGATTGTTGTGGAATTACTTCCCTTTGATATTGACAACATTTGCATGAACTGGCGACTCAAAATTGTCTGTGACGTTTACACAGAAATGGATTTTAGGTTTGTTCAAAATGTTCAAAAGCGTCTTGATGTCCAAGTTGCCTTTGATGTTTGACAAGCGGCTACTATGTCGGGAACATTGGATCATTGACTTTGATATTTATGAAAACACATCGTTGTGCTTGGCTGAAACGTTTTTTGATTTTTTTTTTCTCTCTCTCTCTTTCCTTCTTGCAGAATGTCACGCATCGTGCTGGCACTGCACAGGACCGTCTGCGGACAACTGCACGTCGTGTCCGTCGCCGTCCAGCCTACACGAGGGACAGTGTGTGCCCGCGTGCCCGCAAGGGTTCTTCGTACAGGACGGCCAGTGTCAAGGTCTTTACCGTTTTCCACTGACACAGATCGGATTAGGGCTAATTGTTGATGTGCTGCAAAGGTTTTGATATAGAATTGGGGTTTCGAATATTTGCAGATTTGCAGTTTAATCTTGGGTTAGGGTTTCAAACAAGGGTTAAGGTTTACGAATAGGGTTTCAAGCCTGCGTTAGGGTTTCAAATTATGGTGTGATGTCAGGGTGAGGCTTTTAATTTGGGGTGTCGGATGAGAGTTTGAAGCCAAATTTTTGATCATCGAACAACGGTTAGGGTTTCAAGATTGTTTTAAATTCCAGTTTCAAGGCTGTGTTTGGGTTACAGATTAGGATTTCAAGACAGTTCAAGGTTTTAGGTTTGGGTTTAAAGCTTGTTTTAGGATTTCAGCAAGAGCTTCTGTTTGGAATTTGTGGTTTGAAGCCTTGAATCAGATTTGAAATTGTTTTTTCAACACAAGTTGAGGCTTTCAAAATCAAGCTTGAAATTATGGTTTCAAGGCAGAGTTTGGTCTTCAGATTAGGATCTGAAACAAGGTTAAAGGTTCCAAATGTGTATTTTGAGACAGGTTTGTGATGTCAAATAAAAGTTGGGTTTCAATTTAAGGTCTGAAACCCGGATTATGGTTTGGAACTCTGGTTTCAAGACCGGGTTTGGAATTCAAATTAAGGTTTGAACATTGCGTGACAGTTTCAATTTCAAGATTTTAAGATGAGGTTTTTATTGAGGTTTTCAAAGTTTGATTTCAAACCTAGATTAGGGTTTCAGATGAGAGTTTCTCAGGTTTGGAGCTCAAGGTAAGGGTTGTAAATTAGGGTTTGAAACCAGGACGAACGTTGTAAATTAGGGTTTTAACACTGGGTTAGGCATTCAACCTTTGATGTGGAGCCCATGTTAGGGTTGTAAATTCCTTTTTGATGTTTTCCTCCCCCGGTTCCTAAACTCCACCAGCCTGTCACCCGTCTTGCCAGACGTGTTCGGGCGCCTCCCAAGCCGACTGCACCTCGTGCCCCCCGCTGGCCGACCTGCAGGCGGGCCACTGCCGGACCGGCTGCCGGGAGGGCCGCTTCCTCCATGCCTCCACGGCCCAATGCATCGGTAAGTTTCATGTTTACCGCTAAATCCACTTACGCCTTGTTTTTTGGGGGTGTAATTCCTCTGTTGATGCCTAGATGGCAGCACACTATTTTGTTTTGATCTTGGAAATATCAAAAAAAGAGTGAGAATAGGAAAGCCTTGTTTTTGCTGAAGCTTATTGAATGTCAAAACCTCTTCAATCCAGCTTTTTACGCCTACAGAAATTGACGGCTTTAGGTTTGTTTTATAAAGTGAGTCTTTGGGCATGATTGCCGGTGTATATTGTGAGGTGGTATGATGGCTTGGTGGGGAAAAATGGGATTTGGTTACTGGAAAAAAATAGAGGACTGGGTACATTGTTGGATGTTTGTACTATATTTTCTCAAGGCACCGCTGTAGCAGAATAAAATGAGCCCGAAAGTGCTCCCTCTTACATGCTCCAGTTAAGAGGCGAGTGGCAGCATTTGGAGGCGTTAAAGAGAAATGCATAATCAATGTACTTTTACCACCTCGGAAAACAATCATTTGTTAGATGAAATGAAAATCAGAATGTCGTGTAAGTTCTGCCTACGGCTGCTGTTGTTGTTTACATCCTTGCTGAGTGGGGGGGGGGGGAAGACATTTTACTGATCGGGACCGCTCGCTGAAGATGGAAAACAGTCTGAGGAGGATCAGGACGTGATGGAGGAGATTGCGGAGGCGCACCGCCAGCAATGCACAGACTTTTAATTACACTTTCTGATGACGCGCTGTTCTCGCTCGTTTAAGCGATGCGCCTGCGCAGATTTATGGACGCAGGCGCGCATCAGGAGATTGGGCCCAGGGTCAAGTGCAGCCAAAGTGGTAGTTAATAAAAGATGCCTTGTGGGGTCATAAAAGTACAGCAGTCATTATTTCACCACCGCCTCCACCTTCACACTCCAATGGCACGTATACACACACACGCACACGCGCACACACACAAATGCACACACTCCATTGTCCTCTCATCACATTGACTACTTGTAGTTTATTTTACAAGCAACACCTTTTGTCGTAATTATCCATGCGTGACCTATGTTTTTCCTTCCTCCCAATTTATGCTTGCTTGTCTGTCTGTCTGTCTGGCTGGCTAGCTAGCTAGCTAGCTACATAGCTACATACATCTTGTCCTCGCTATTTAGCTAGCTACCTGTACATAGCGACGTAGCTAGCCTTCAAGTTCTCAACGGTTCTTGTTAAAATTTACACTTGGGGTTACTAATTGCGTTTGAACCGAGCGTTCTGGTTTGAAATTTGATTTTAAAGACAGGGTTGGAAGATTTCAAGACTGAGAGGATTTCAAACTAGGGTTAGAATTTCATATGAATGTTTCAAGACAAGGTTAGGTTTCAAATTAGGGCTTGAAACTTGGGTTATGGTTTCAAGACAGGGTTGTGGTTTGAAACTAGGGTAGGACTTCTATTAGGTGTTAAAATCAGGTTTAGGGTTTCAAATTAAGTTTCAAGGTAGGCTTAGGGTTTCAAAGTAGGGTTTGAAACTTGGGTTCAGAATTCAAATTAGGGTATGAAGACAGGATTAAGGATTAAAATTTTGAAAGACAATGATATATAGATTCGACTTAATGATCCTTCTCGCTGCAGCTTGACTGATGTGATTTGTTGCCAGAGTGCAGCCCCGATTGCCATCGGTGCACGGCCGACCTCCAGACAGGCGTCAGCAGCGTTTGCCTGTGGTGCAAAGGACCCGGCGCTGGTGCCTTGTTGCTAGGCGACCACTGCGTCCCTCGCTGTCCACGGGACCACTACGCCCGGCACGGAGCCTGCATACGTAAGAACTGGCAATGGCGCGTTATTGCAAATATACTGTAGGCTTTCCTTCTGAAAAAAAATCGGATATATTTGTCAGAAGAAATGCGACTCTCCTGGTAAGATCTTCTTTTCCCAGAAAAATCGTTGGGGCAAAAAAAGTCTGATTTTGTTCTCGGAAAATGCTACTTTTTGTACCTTGGGAAAATGTGATTTGTGAAAATGTGTTGGGAAAAAAAATCCGAATTCGTTGTCTGAAAAAATATGACTTTGTTCTTGAAAAAAATTTTTTCTTCCACCCCCCTCAAAATGGTGACTTCTGTGACTTCCGTGTCAATACAACGCAGTTGTCAGGAAAACAAGCTTCTTTGTTTCGTAAAAGATATTTAATTGTTAGTAACAATATGACTTTCTTGTCGGCAAGTACAACTTTTTTTTAAATCGAAATATTCTGGCTCGAACAAACACCCGACTTTCTTCTCACAAACCAGTTTTTTTTGGGTTTTTTTCCTTTCCCAAAACACGTGACCGTTTAGTTTCTTCCTGTTGTAAGAATCTCGTTTTATTCCCCAGGATGTCACCAGTCATGCGAGGCGTGCAGTGGGGCGGGGCCTCTTGCCTGTACTTCCTGTCATGCCCCCAACGTTCTGCTTGCCTCTGGGGAGTGCGCCCCCCAGTGCCCAATGGGTTACTACGACAACGGCCGTGGGGTCTGCGAAGGTCAGTCCAAACAACCAAACCACTTTTCAGGCATACCTTCTCTTTTGCGGATGTAGGACATAAAAAATGAGCGCATTCAGGTGCAGGAATACCTGGCAAGTTGTAGCCCGTGTCCTATGTTTAACAACCATCTCCAGTGTTTATCTTGGACATATTTTCTATTCATCAAAATGTTCAGATACAAAAATATCTAACTTTAGTCTCATAACATAAAAACAAATCACGTAAAAAAAAAACTAAACAAGACTCTATATACACTATTTGTTTGTTGTTGTACTGTATTGTCCAAAGAAACCAAATGTTACATTCTATGCATTTTTTTCCCTCCAAAATCAAAATCAAATACAGCTTAGAATTTATTTAGTGGATGAAATTTTGAAAAAAAATTCTAGATTTTGCAACTTTTAAAATTGACTCTATTAAATAGTTTTTTTTTGTCGAAACTAAATGATCCCTTTTTCTCTGAGAAAAATAACATTTTATTCTTGTAAAATGCTGACCTTTTTTACATTTTAACTTTATTCTCAGAAAGACACATGGACAGTTTTAATTCTGCTTGTATTCTATTATTCTATCATGTGAGACTTCTGAGCTCACAATCGTGTTGTCGTTTTGCGCGTAGCAAGTGTATCGTTGTCGTTGACAGCGTGCAAGCACCAGTGCCTGACCTGCGAGGGGGTGGACGCCTGCACTTCCTGCCGCGACCCCGCCAAGGTGCTGCTGTTCGGCGAGTGCCAGTACGAAGGCTGCGCCCAGCAGTACTACCTCAACACCACCACGCGCACCTGCACAGGTGACTGTGACGAGTGGCAAGCTTTTCCAAACTTCCTGCGCCAATAGCCGAAATCGACACTCCACATTCAGTCCTTCAAATCACTTTTTAAAATTTGATAATATTTTCAAATTACACAACAAATAAAATGAGCAAAAACATTGATTTGAACTTTTCACCAACCGACGTGAACCGAATTTGATTGTGCAGAGTGCGACTGGAGCTGCAATGCCTGCCGAGGGCCCCTGCGCACCGACTGCCTGCAGTGCATGGAGGGCTACGTGCTGCGCGACGGCGTCTGCGCCCACGGGTGCCCGCCAGGATCCTACCGGGATGGAGACAGATGCCTCGGTCAGTTGGCAAGCGCACAAACCGTGTCCATCATCGGCCGTGCTTTGCCCGCCGTACGGAGGACGCGAATGTAGCCGGGAGAAAGTAGCCACCGAAAGAAAAAAAACCCAACTAAAGCCAAACAAGTTCATGCATGTTTTCAGTTGTTTTTGATTCAAATTTAAAGTTGCTTTTCTCGCTTATGTGATTCTCCCAAATATGGATTTGGGGAAGAGAAAAAAAACAATCTATGCTCTTGTTAAATTATTGCATATTTTTTGTCTATGGACTTTTCAATTTTCTTTTATTCCAACAAACGTTTGCTGTCGCGACTTTGTTGTTGTTGAACCAACTCAAAATTTCACATTTACAATGAGTGGCGTCGAGACAACAAAAAGGCAAAACAGCAGAACAAATGTCAATGAATGATTTCAGTTACATTTTTGGCAGTTTTTTGCAGATGTCACCCTTTTTTGGGGGGGGTGGGGGGGTCACATTCGGCTTGCTTGTTCTCCCTGGCACGCGATGACAATTAAATGACACTTCCCTTTTTCAGGCTGCGATGACGCCTGTGTGGAGTGCAGCGGTCCCGGGCAGTGCCAGCAGTGCCAGCCCCCCTACGCCGCGCTGCGTGGTCAATGCGTGCTCCAGTGTGGCAGGAACTACTTCCTGGACGCTGACACGCACTCCTGCCAACGTGAGAGCTTCTCTGCTCGTTTTTCCGACAAAGCCTATTTATCAAAATTTGCCGTTTGGGTTTTCAGCCTGCTCCACCGACTGCGTGCTCTGCGACGGAGTCGGACGTTGCCGAGCTTGTGGACAACAGAGTTACCTCATGGAAGGATACTGCACCCCCGACTGTGGACAGGGTTACTACGCCCATCCAAAAAGTCGAACCTGCCATGGTAACAACACTTTTTTTTTAATGTGGAGTTATTGCTTCTATACCGGATTCCCTGTGTCTTGGGCAGCATGGGTTCTTGAGACTTTTTTGTGGGTCTACCTCTTGATAAACTTGCAGACCAGATTTCATGTGGCTAAGTCAAACAAGCTTTGGGAGCTGAATTTTCAAAAGTTTTTGGGAGAGTACGTCTTTGAAGGACCAACGGAAAATGATCCTAAAATGGCCATTTCAAATAAAACTGACAATTTTGTCTTTTCGGCGAGGCTTCTTGAGACTTTTTTGTTTTGTGGATCTACGCTTGATAGACATCCCTACCAGCGGAATGGGCTTGACAGGCTGAATTTTCAGAAACTCTGGTCAGGGTTTGTCTTTGAATGGCCATTTCAAACCAAAATGGCGGACTCCCCGCAACTTTTACAGCATGGCCTCCTGAGACTTTCTTGTTGGTCTCCTCATGATGACTACCGGTATGTCTACCAAATTTCATTTGGCCAAGGGGGGATGGATTTTTATAAACTCTCTCCGAGGGATTGTGCTTGTAAACGGGAGGCTTCCTGTATATTTTTGGGTCTGCTTTTTTGTGGGTCTGCTCATGATAGACATGCCTACCAAATTTTACGTTGCTAAGTGAAACGGGCATCGGGACCCGAATTTTCAAAACGCCCGGAGTAGTCGTTGTCTTGGACCCAAAAGGGCAGACTTTCTGTGTATTTTGTCGCTTGGCTTCTTGAGACTTTTTTGTCGATATGCTCATGTCTACCAAATGTATCAAAACCTCTCTACGTGGTGTTAGCCTTTGATTTGAGAAGAAAAAAAAAGCACGAATGATACATTTCAGTCATTTAATGTCATGTAAAAGGAAAATAGTTCCATCCTCACTCCTCCTCCGAAGAAAGAAAGAAAAGATGTTTTAAAGCTGATGTGTTATTTAAAGGCCGCGGGCTGACAATTTTTCACTATTCCCTGAGCGGACAGTGAAAGATTGTACATTTCTCCCGCAGAAATACATTGCATAACATGTCATAAATCATCGCACAAACGAAGCTCTATCCGTGGTTTCCCTCAGCCTTAAAGGTACAACACTGCAACAAGAAAGATAAAAGCGCTGGAAAAAAAAAAAGGCATCACTCTTGTGGTATTGATGCTACTATTATTTTATTTTCGGATCTGTTCTGCCAGAACCCCAAAAAACATGTCGAGACTTTACAATAAACCCCTCACGGGAAATCATGAGTTACTCATGATGCAGCGTATGCAAATTTAATCAAGACGCTGTCATAAATTACCCAGACGACCTCAACGCGTCACATGAAAGAATAAATCAAAAGGTTGACGGACAGGTTAGCACAGCCATGCAGCGCGTGCTGATGGGCGTCGCGTCAAATAATAAAGCATTGTCGTCACTGTCAGCAAGAAAGACAAATTGCACACCACCTCGCTTGTCAAATGTTAACGACGGCGAGTGCGTCGGCAATATTTAGCCGACACCCACCCGAAACAATAAATAAAACGCTCACTATAGAAATACTACAAGCATGCAGAGCCATAGGATGAATTTCCCGCTATTGTCATCTAATAAAATATAAATTAATATAGGATCTAATAAATCAAGCGTGTAAATGATCTGAGAGAGTGCATGCATTATAAATCGCATCACTTGACCGGAAGAATGAATGTGAAGACGGAGAACTGCTACCATAACGAAGTGTGGCGCTAGCCGACTGTTCCAAGACTTTTTTTGACATGCATTTGACTGGGAATGAGGTTAAAATGTTATTTGAAGTCAGCTATTATGTTATGTTTGGAGTCAAATTGGCCCGTTTAATGTAAAGAAATGATATTTAAAAAAAAAAAAAAGAGATCGTCAGGAATGCCCTTAAAACAAAAAAGTCTCAAGAAGCCATGCTTAAAAAAGTCACATAACATCTGCCATTTTGGTTCAAATTATCCATTTGACCCACCAAAAAATCTCAAGCAGCCATGCCGGAAAACAAAGTGCAAGTCTGACAATCGGTTTTGAAGCTCGTACTTTAGGGTCATTTCCAGAGGTCGACCAAGAGAATTTTTATAAATCCATTTCCCGAAATTTCATTTATTCACATAATATTTGGTGGGCATGTCTATCACAAGTAGACCTACCAAAAAGTCAAATGAAGCCAAGCCTAAAATGATTCATTTTAGGTTCAAGGGCTTCTAGTATTCTACAAAGACAAATTGTTCTAGTTCTAGAGAGGGTTATTTTTTTTTTTTTTTGCCCCCCAAATCCTATTTTACTTTTGTCCGGCATTAATATCATGGGTAGACCCACAAAAAAAAAAAAGTCTCAAAGCCATGCTTGAAAAGTCCCAGAAATTTGCCTTGAGCCGCCATTTTTGGGTCACCCTCTCATGAAACACACAGCACACCTTCAAAAACCTTCAAAAACAAAACCGCTCCTCGAATTTTGCTCACAGATTTGAAACTCATGTATATCGACATGGGTTACAATAATTGCAGCAATTTCAGAATAATTGTACAGATGAATGTTGAATATGCTGCGGACGTTGTCCCCCTTTCAGCAAACAGCAGCCCCCCGACGCTCCACATCAACGGTTCCCTCCAGGTTCCCCTCGGCGGTTCAGTCCCGCTGACACCGACTCTCGTGCAAGTGAAAGATGCCGACAGCCCGCTGGAGGCTCTCGTCGTCCAACTCGTCCGGCGACCCGCCAACGGCCGTCTGCTCGTCTTCCGAGGCGGGCGGGAGGACGAGGAGGAGGAGGAGGCGACGGGGGAACGCGAGCTGAGCGACCAGGACAGCTTCACGTGGGCCCAGTTGGGAAGCGGCCGAGTTCACTTTCAACACCACAAGGGCAAAGCGAGGTGAGGCCATTCTACCTTGTTTTTGGATGGCAAAGATCCATCTTGAGAAACCTCAGTGGGACAGGCGGGAAACTTCATGGACGCTATTTTCTTCCTCACTACGAGAGATGAATTCTTCATCACTGTGACTTGAGAATTCATGTTTTTGTTTCTTCATTTAAACCAGTGATGAATTCTTCATCACTACGTCTGGGAAATTCATCTTTTTCTTCCTCATTGGAACCAGTGAATTTGTTTGTTATTCTTCCTCACTCAAATTAGCATTCTGGAGAACTGGAAAATAACAGTATTTTTTCCTCACCACAACTGGTGTTTTTGTGCATTTGAGTTCGTGAACGTTTGTTTTCTTCGTCACCAGAATGGTTGAAAACACATACTTTTCCACTCACTAGAGCTGTGTTCGTTTTTTTTTTCTTCCTCACTAAAACTGGTAAATGTTTAGCTCTTTAATTTAGTTCATATTGCATAAAAATAACAGACCAGGTGGCTACGGGCTATTTTTTTTTCCAATGAAAAAATATGAAATTGACCATATTTGGATTTTTATTTCATTTTTTCCCCAAACTTGTGAATGTTTGCATTTCCTTCTTTCTTAAAAATGTTTAGCATCTTTTTTGATTGGTGATAGTGCTTTAAATTTGTTCATATTGCAGAAAAATAACAGACCAAGGGGCTACAGGCCATTTTTTTCTGTGCTTCAATGAGTATATTTTCCTTCTCGCTCGAATTGGCCAAATCGCGTATTTTCTTCTTCGCTTGAGCCAACTAATTCATGTATTTTCGTTCATGCTCTGCAGGACTGGTGAATTCACTTTGCGAGTGGCCGACCCTCAGCTGGCGTCTCAAGCAGAAACGATTCAAGTTCAAGCACTTTCAATGCAGGTGAGCCACACGCATGCACACGCATCTTGAGTTTATCGAGTGGCGCTTGCGAAATATGAAAAAAGGAATAGAATGGGCAGCCCTCATAAAGTCAAATGATTGTCATCTCCATCTCCCGTTTGATTTTTTTAATTTTTTCCCCTGGAAATGCAAATTTTCCCTCTCGTGTCAATACAAAATACAGCAAGGAAATGTAGCCTTTCCGACAGGATTCCTCAGCGTGTCTTTTTGCGTCCGTTGAAATTTCTGAGTGCGTGTTGACCCTCACTGGAGGGCTGCGAGTGCTTCTTGCACCTCACATCACAAGCAGTGACGCAACCTTCGCTCTCCACTGGAGGAAGGTTACGAGTCTTTTTCTTGATATTTTCATCACTTCGCCAACCGCCGCAACAAAAAGGCAAAGGCTGCGCGCTCGACACTTTCGCTTAGCATGGAAATGCCGGTCGGCCAGTTCGAGGATGCGAGTCGGCCCGTCTGATGTGGGGTCAACGTTTCACGGAACGTAACCAAGATGGATATGTTGAGAAAAATTGAAAATCAAGCAGCACGCCTACAACACAGAAACAAGCCTGAGAAAGAAGAAAGGCTTGATTGAAATCTCCGCCGGCAGCCATTTTCGCGCGTCCAGGAATAAAACGATCTCACAATCTGATAACCTAGCAACACCCTCAAGTTCCACGAGCTGAGTAAGTGACGGAAATTTACCTTGCAAGTCGGGACTTTTGGAGAACAAAGCAGCTACGATTTAAATTGCGTGCCGGGGGGAGTAAGCTCACCGCCAGATTTTTTCAAAGCACTTTCTTTTTTATGCCGGTTCTTTCAGAGCATTTTGACCCACAGAATATTGTGTTCTGTGGCAATATCAGCACCAAACCGAACAAAAGAAAATGCAGACTATCATTTGCCAGAAAATAAAACAAATGTATTGACCTTTGTTTCCATTCAGCAGTAGAACGTGGATCGGTGCCACCAAAAATACGGGTGTCTGACCAAAAAGCAGAGAAAATGAGCTTTTGAGGAAAACAAACATGTTCAGCAAAACAGACTTTGCTGCTATTATTATTTTGTCTTGACATCTCAAACTTTGAAACAGCCAAACCAAGACTGCAAAAAGGATTTTTTGGAAAAATAATATGGTTGCAAATTATGCAACTAAGAAATGCGCCATGAGCGACGCGACCCTGACTCACTGCATGACTTGGGTTGAATGTCAAATGCCTTTGTTTTTTTTTTTTTTTACATGGCATTTGCCTATTTAGTCCATGAACAAAATAATCTTTTCTCACATTTGTTACATATGCTAGCTACCATGACACATGCATTTTATACCTTATTTGTGCATACCGCTGAGGTCGGGCAGAATGCCTCATCATAATCGCTATTCAGGAGACAAAAAAAAAAACAAAAAACGAGATGGTCAATAATTTATAAAAATGACCACAGCCACATGCAGATAGATTTGTGAAAAATGTAAAATTTACCAAATTTTCACAACATGGTTTCGACCTGATATTGTCTTGGCATTTCCTGCCCTTACAATTGACGTGACAGGCCGAGATTCTCCACCAAGTCTTTATCTTCTACTCAAAAGCTGTGCTGAAAAAAGACGTACATGTTTGGTGTCAGTAAACGGTTGGATTCCCCTTGAGGAATGTCGATGTCCACAGCACTTAGTGTGGAACTCTTGGTCTTTTTGCTACAGTCGTTCACTGTGTCAATGGGCACTCAGTGTGTCCTTATTGGGGAGTGCGTTGCCTTAACCACACAGTGCCGAAAATGCAAGTGTAAATCAGTCCTTCTGCAGTGCATTGAAAGACCTCACAGCTTGCAAGCAAAGAAAAACAAACATCCCAGAAAGCCAGCAGCACGCACCGGAAGGATTTTGCACCCCCATGAGGGCCGATGATGGCACTTTCCTAAGCTTCAACCCCTCCTCTTCACTCACTTACCTGCAGCTCTGCGAGACAAGGTCAAGCCTCCTGCATTGAGTGTTTGTTTGCCTCAGGAGGAGATTTACTTGTTTGCCTTTTTGTGAGTTGGCGTGTCTTTGTGCAGATACACACACACACACACAGACACACACACACACACACACACACACACACACACACACACACACACACACACACACACACACACACACATTGACACACTCTTTGTTTTGCTGCAGTGGGAAGACAAGTCGGGATTTGGGTGGTCGCCCGGGGGGGTGGGGGGTGGGGGGTCTCGGTTGTCTGTCTGCTGGAGATAATTGCTCCAAAGTGAAGAAATTTGTCATCGGACCTTAACTGAGTTGCTGCTTTGTTTCGTGGCTCAGTCGCTGTTTGTCTGCGATCATCGCCCTCTGTGGCGCCAGCTTGTTCGTCTCCGCGTGAACCTTTTTGCTCAAGCTGTCATCACCGCCACCCGCTGGAGCTCAGCCAGGATTTAAGGAACTTTTACACCACGGTGAAAATGATTTGGGAACAGCAGGGGAAGGCACTTGCAAATCAGCAGCAAAAGGCCAAGGATAAAGGACCAGGAATCCAAGATGCTGCAAAAGACTTGGAAAAACGGTGACGAAAGTAAAGTTTACCCAGTAGATAATCTCCCCCCGGCGTCCTGTTTGTGACTTGCAGCCACCCAGGGTGCTGGTGTTATCGCCCCTATCGGTGGCGGGTCCCGGCGAGGCTGGGACCATCACCAAGTCCACTCTTGCGGTGGACGATCCCGACAACCCGGCGGACGTCTTGCTGATGCTTCTGGAGGCTCCTCGCCACGGCCGTCTGACGCGTGTCCACGGCGACCAATCGCTGAGCCGCTTCAAGCTGGAGGAGCTTTCTCGCGAGCGCGTGCAGTACGTCCACGACGGGTCGCGGGAGGCGCAGGACCACCTGGTGCTGCAGGTCAACGACGGACACAGCTACCAGAATGTTCTGCTTCAAGTGCGCATTAATCAGAAGGTAGGAAATCCTAATACCGCCTTCCAACCCTAATTTGGAATTTGACACCCTAATCCTTTGTCATCGGTAAGTTTTTCTTGAAACCCGACCTGTGTCTTGAAACTTCTTAAAAACCAACTTCGTCCCGATTGGTTGAAAGTTGTTCCTGCTCATTCGCTTCATGAACATTTCGTGTGACAGCATGTCAGCGTGTGCCATATGCTAGGCTACATTCATGAGCACACCACCAGAAGGTTCGACTTTTATTTTCTTTTTTTTCCAACTCTCACCATCTGGACCATTTGCAGAGTTCTGTGGAAAAACCCTCAAAATGATTCTTTGGTGTGTGTTGAAAACTTGAGTGTGACGGTTGTGTTTAAGGCGGATGACTCGCCCGAGCTGCGCTCCGTCCCGGTAACGTGGGTGAAAGCGGGCGGCATGGTGAGACTTGGCCGCCAGCAACTGCAGGCGCACTACAAGGGGGTCGGTGCAGACCACATCGTTTACACCATCCTGGACTCTGACGAGCAACCCAAATACGGTAAGAAAACATTTATCGGTCAAACATCATTTTGATTTTAGAGTTAAGGGCGGGTCAGTTTGACCCGCGGCATAATCGGATGATTAAATATGGAACACAAGTGGTCCCCTTTCTCCGTCCAGGTGAAATAGTGCTGGCGTCCATGCCTGCCGACGGTCCCCCCGAAGGTTGGAACCCGACACAGACGGACAACCGAGGCTTTACCGCTACCACCTCATTCACCCAGCAGGACGTGGACGACGGCACCGTGTGGTACCGACACTTCGGCAGTGGGACGCCGGCCGACTCTTTCCGCTTCCAGGTCGGTGAAAATGTTGCCAGATTGTGTGTGTGTGTGTGTGTGTGTGTGTGTGTGTGTGTGTGTGTGTGTGTGTGTGTGTGTGTGTGTGTGTGTGTTAGTGTTATATTTTTTTCAGGGGGGTAAATACAATGTGGTTAAAAAAGTAAACTTCACAGTGAAGTGCAATTTTTCAAGGCGGGGGGATATTTTCCAGACCTTTCTTGGTTCTATCTTGTGTCCACGTTATAAATGGGCAGTGAGTGTATTCTGATCAATCTCTTCCTTGTCAACACGACAAAGCAGCCAAAAAAGCTTTGCAGCGCCATCTAATCAAGCGTCTGTCAACACTCGTTCTTGGCTCCGTCTATTGTCACAAATTGATTTTAATTATTTGCCAGCGCCATTCAAACGACTAATCTCGAGTGTATCTTCAATTTGACGCTGTCAAATTCTCGCAATCCTCGCCTGGGCTGGAAAAGAAGGTGATTAAACAGAGTTGGGGTTTTTTTGTGTTTTTTTTTAATGGAGTGATTTCAGAATGCACCGCAGGACTCAATAAGCAGCCGTCCCTCCAAAGCAATCAATTCACAATTCAGCATTTGCAAAGATGATCATGCCCACCGCTGTGGGCAAAAGTGTTATTAAGGTGTCTTAATTAGATGAATCCACCCACGAGTTTCCTTTCGAAATCTGCCTACGATATTACAAAATACTCCTACTTCTCCATCCATTCACACCTTACCTGGAATTCAATCCAAACAATTCAGCCTTTGCACCGATCAATAATGATGCTTAACACTCTTGTTGTTGTTTTTTATCTTATCCTTGCGGCAAGCCTACAGTCATCAAGAGACAGGGATTTTTTTTTAATGATTAACATGCTTTAATGGTCCAATCAATTCAGTCTTTGCTTGGTTTAGAAGTGGAAAATTGAACGATAACCAGGACCTCACAGCAGTCAAACAAGATATGAGTTTGTCAATGGCAGAGCCATTTCCCATAGGAGCTGAACTGTGCTAGGTAGAATGAAAAGAGTAGTGGGCCAACGACAGAGCCCTGTGGGACCCCATGTTCACCTGGACACAAAGAAGAAAACACACGCACACAATCAAAGGTGAATTCCTCCAGAGAGAATTTTGAAATTGCAGCCCCCCGTAGTCAGTTTTAGTTGGCAACATAAAGTTTATTTGTCATTACTAGATGCACAAAAAAAAACCAAATCTGTAGAAGCCATGCCTGAAAATCAACAGAGAGCCGCCCACTTGGGTTTGAAGACGTCATAAAAGGGTCATTTGAAGGAAAAAAAAATCTGTTATTTGTGGTAGGTATTTTATTTAGCAACGTATGTTTTTTTATCTCCTCAGGTATCCACAGAAGCTGCTGCTGTCAGGCAAAGTGAACCGCAAACGTTCAGCATCGGAGTCTTACCGCAAATCCCCGGATTCCCTCAGCTCGACCCGGACTGTGATCTTCAAGTCACGGTGAGGCCAAACGTCACCAAATGTCATTCACGAGACTGCCCCTAAAGTTTGTCTCACTTACTGACTCGACATTTTGTAAGCGTGTCCTTCTATCATGAACAGACCCGCAAAAAACTAAAAAAATGTCTCGAGTCCTGAAAGTCTGTTGCCATTTTGGGGTCATGTTCCTTGTGGTTTTGTGCGATTGCTTGTCGGCTAAAATAGACGGCTTACTACCTCAAATTTGATCACCTTGTAACGCGTGTGCATGTGGAAACAGGCTCTCGAGGATCGTGTGACGGAGATAACGCCCTCAGCTCTTTCCTTCATGGACACCGAGACTCCCAGTGATCGTCTCATCTACAACATCACCAAACCGCTACTGGCTGGACAAGGTCTCTCACAAACGCACTTTCGACCTATTTTCAGTCCATATCATCTCCCTTTTTTTCCCCCCTCTGGTCACCAGGCGCCATCGAACACCGCGACAGGCCATACACAGCGGTCAGACATTTCACGCAGGCGGACGTGGACAACGGCAAGATTGTCTACAGGCCGCCCGCGGCCCCCTCGCATCTGCAAGAACTCTACCAGTACTCCTTCATCGGTAAGAACCATGCAACCATGCGTTATTTTGCAACTTGATGAAATTTTTACAAACAGCATCGGTATGATATAGTTCAGTTGTGTGCGGTGGAAAATATTTTGACAGTGTTAAAAGTTGAGACCCTGCAATTAAAAACAGATCAACATTACTTTTGCAATTTTCTTTTTTTTTTTAATACAGCTCATGTATTTGATCATTTTTCATTTTGTGGGTGTTAAATACCCACATTAAATATTCACTTTCATCCCTGCAATTATTTTGTGCAAAATTTGCCATCACTGGTTCCGCGTTTTGATCAGCTTTTTATTCGCCTTTTATCTGCCTCTTGCTGTGACACGACTGCGTATGAAATGCTAATGCTAAGCTACTAAGCTGGAGTATATTTTATGTCAAATATTAATAATGTCTCAGTGCGAAACTTTCCAAAGGAAATACTTTTCAAAAAAGCTCCCAATGAGGGTTAGTGGAAATAAGTTTGCATGCAGATTTGGTGTCACACTTAACGCATTTGAAAACGGTTTTTATGTACACATTTTATGTACAAAAATTATATTGTTTGTTGTTGCAAAATTATGTATTTGAATTATTTTATTTTATGTAGCTGTGTGGAATAGAATCTAAAAAAAAATGCTCTAGTGTAAAAAATATTTACTTTTTTTTCGCATGGATTTTTTTGGGTGAAAATTTTCTCTGTGAAATTTTACAATGTCACCTATTTTAAAAAAAAAAACTACCCATGAAGATATTTTAAAAAGTAATTTAATTAGCATGCCTGTGTTCAATGGCATTTATGAATCCAATCCATTCGTCATAAACACAAGAAAGCAAAATTAACATTTGATGTGTATTTCAACTTGAAGTTTTAAAACACTACAATTATTAAGGTCTAATATTTTTACAATTTTAGAGAATTTCTGAACAAATGAGCGGTGACACCTGATGACAGTTTTTTGTCCACTTGAATATCGACTGTTCTCTGATTTCCCGCAGGTCTGCCCGAGTCATTGAGTGTCTACTTCACAGGTAAATCAAAAAGAGCGCCACCTGCTGTCTACCTTCAATCAACGTTCATCTTCTCCTTCCTCTTTTCCGTTTCTTGTTTGATGACGCTCCATAAAACACAAATCTCGATGAAGTCAGCCCCACAAGGCCGCAGCTTGACGTTTTGCATGCGATGTAAGGCAATTAATTTTTTGGCACTTGTGCGTGTGTTCTTGTGTGCGCGTCAAGTGTCCGATGGCGAGCACACGACTCCTGAGTTAGACTTTGCCATCCTGCTGCTTTCCAACCACCAGCAGCCGCCGATGTTTCAGGTTCTGGACCCACTCCTGGAAGTCGACATGGGTGGGCAGGCCGCCGTGGGTAAGGAACTGCACACACGACAGACACAAAAACAACACTTTTTTTTTTATTTTTCAGGAAGTATCATTGGTAGAAGTAGAGTGGAAGCTTCATTTAAAATAAAAGAGAGAAAGGGGTACTAAATAAAGAAATTATCATTGCATCAAAACCTGGGAAGTGGGGGGGGTGGGGGTGTCGTCTTTTAAATTTAAGAATCGGAATAAACTATATATAGAGAGAATGAGAGAGATGTGTGTGTATATATACACATGTACACACACACACACACACACATTTAAAAAAAATAAATGAAAAATACATTAAAACACCAAAGAAATGAATCACGAAAGCAAACTTTAAATTAAAAACTAAGGCGGCCAGCAGCTGGCGGTGAGCGACGCCGACACTTCCCCCGACGAGCTGGAGTTCGAGCTGGTGGAGGCTCCGGTCCACGGGGAGCTGCTGAAAAGCCAGGCCGGCACCCACGTCAGGATGACTAATGGTGAGACCCTGCGTCCCGCGTGCAGACGTTCGTCACTAAAACGTACTGTCCACTACCCACAAAATGGTAGATTGGGATAACGGACAATGAAGGAACTTTGTTGAAGTGAGTTGAGGAGCATCATTTCTACATAAATAGCCTTTCCTCCCCTCGGTCAGGCGACATCTTCACCTTCGCCGACGTGACCCGCAACTCGCTGCTTTACCGCCACGCCGGTCTCTCCGGCCACGACGATGACGCCTTCACAATCTCGGTCAGCGACGGCATCTCCATGGCGACCGTCACCGTGCAGGTAGCGGTGCTGCATGGTGGCGGCGGCGGAGCCAGCGGACACGGACCTCAGCGAGACCCTCACGCCGTACTTTCCATGGAGGTGGGCAAGATGAGCAGCACCGTCGTCAGACGTTCGCATCTGGCCTACACGGTGAGTCCGTCATGTGAATATCTATTGTGTGCGCGTGTGATATTATTTGCACCTCGGTGATATCTTTCCATTTGTTTGTGGTAGGATGACTCATCGCCAGACGAGCAGATCCGCATCCAGCTGGTGTCGGTGCCGATGTACGGCATCCTGACCAGGACTCCGGAGCAGCAAGAAGCGCAAGAACTGAGGGAATATTCCACTTTCTCCATGGACGACATCAACCGCGGAACCATCAGGTGGCCGCCAAGTCGCCAGCGAGAACTGCGTGCACAGCCACGATAGAGAGATGCAGCACATCGAGTGGATTAGAAAATGGATGGACGCCCAAAGATAAAATATGATTCACTCCAATTTACGTTCCGATTCGATTCACTCCTTCTATGATGCAATTCACTCAAAATACGTTACGGTTCACTCCAATTACAATCTTGTACAATCGCTCCAGTTGCCATACGATGTCATGAAAATGATTCACTCCAAATTTAACAGCATTTCCTCCAACTGTGATGCGAGAAGACATGATTTCAATGTCTTGTCAGATACATCACTTCGTTGGAGACGGGCAACCAGCCCATCACGGACGTCTTCCACTTTGTCGTCTACGACGGCGACAACAATCGTCTAGACAACCAGATGTGCACCATCACCATCACCTCCATTGCCAGGCAGCCGCCTGCCGTCACCGTCCGCAGTGGAATCGAGGTTCCCGTGCACATGACAACTCTGTTTTTAGGATGATGATGATTATTTGAGCACCATTTGGGCTGCGTTCAAGCTTACGCAGTGAATGTTTGTTGTCTGGCGACTCGATTGGATGTATTTTAATGAATAATTGTTGCCGGTGTAGGTCCAGGAGGGCAGTCGTGTGCAGCTGACAACCAATCACATCTTTGTATCCGACCCGGACACACCGGGGAAGAACCTTCTGGTATGGCTGGTCAGCCCGCCCGAGTACGGATTCATCGAAAACACCAAGCAAGGTAAGTCATCTTCCTCCTCCTCCTTCTCAGTTCTTGCTTTTGGCCGTCATCGGTCATGGCGACATTCAAAACTGCGGCCTTCCTCAATTTTCCCTGAATGCTTCTCCGACGTCCCAAAAATAATATTGGAGAAAAAATATGTGACATTACTTTAAATGTGAAGCTGTCCATCACCGGGGAAAAGATTGCATTTCGGAAAATGGAATATATCAGTGGCAGGCTAGAAGTGAAATTATTATCGACAAAATTGGAGAAAGTGCACTTGAGGAAGGTCTTGCATGTCAAGTTTGATGACTGGCCATGAAAAGCAAACCACAAGATTTTGGGGGGGAAACTTCAGCCCTTGAAGCCAGTTTGTCTTGTCGCAACGGGAAATTTGGTCCACCTGTCTATCTCAGGTAGGCCTACAAAAGAAGTCTCAAGAGGCCATGCCAGAAAAGACGAAAGAAGTCAACCGATTGTGTTTGAAGGAGGCATTTTGGTCTTGTCTGGTCATTTTCAGGAGTCCTTCAGATATTTTGAAAATTCTGCCCCAGTAGACCATTCACTTAGAAGTGTGAAATGTGGTAGGCTTGTCTATTCTGAGTTGACCCACAAAAAAATCTCAATAAGCCCAGCCTGAAAAGACACAAGAAATCTGCAGTTTTGCTTTGAATTGACTATTTTAGGCTGAATATGGTCATTTTTCAGGGGCCGTTCAAAAGTTTTGAAAATTCAGCCCCCAAGATCTGTTTTACCGAGCAACAGGAAATTGAGTAAACAGGCCTATCATGAGTAGACCCACAAAAAGCTCTCAAGAAGCCCTTCTAAATAAAATTTATTATGATTATTATTCCCAGAAAGACACAAAGTCTGCCAGTTTGCTTTGAAGTGGCCACGTTATGGTCAATGTATGTCAATTTTTTGAGGTCCTTTGAATACTTTGAAAATTAGGCATTCAATGTGTGAGAAGACACACAAAGTTTGTCATTTAGCTCGAAAGCAGGCATTTTCAGGAGAATTTTTGTTGTCATTGCATTTTGCCTTGCCATTATTCCTGTTTTTTTTTTTTGTTTGTTTTTTTATATACATATAAAGCCCGCAGAAGCCTCAGCACGCCCCCACCCTTTTTAGCTTCCCTTAACACCACAGTGGTCCTGATTGAGATTCCGCGCAGGTTCCTCTTCAGATAAGAGACTCCTCTCGCTCACCTTCTCAGAGTCACATCATGATGGAAGTGCACCGTGACGCGTTGCCGTTAAACGTCACCGCCATGTCAAAACAAGACACCGATACCTCGCCGCGACTGCCTTCTCGCCAAGCGATGCGTGAAGGCCGCCATCATTCGGGCTGTCGGATGCCGTAACAGATTCCGGCACCGGCATGTCTGATAAATGCAAACTGATTCAGCAGTCAGTTAGCGCTCACCTGAGCCGGTCCAAAAGCATCACAGCCCCCGTCCCACTCAGGTCCTACACTGTCGACTGTTGGCAAAGCTAGAACAACGCACGTTCACGTCAGAGTTCGTTTGGATTCGTTCAAGGTCGCAAATGTTTGGGAATCGTTCCCCAGACGTCCACCCAACATTTTGAACAAAATTGTGCAAAAAAGTACAGGCTTTGGGCTTTTAACAATCAACAGAGCTTGGAGGGTTTCTATTTCATAGTTGCATTGATGTATTTATTTTTGCCGTAGTATTGAGGAAGAACGGCGTAACACAAAAATGTTGAATTTTGGATGAAATTCCCCAAGTGAGGAGATGTTGTTACAGAATTGGCTCCCCGTTCAACATGTCTTAACACATTCAAGGCATCCTAACTTGAGAAAGTCTTTCCAGGACAAAGTCCCCCCCCCAAAAAAAAAGAATCTGCTGGTGAAAATCGTCTCATCACAAAGAGGCGGAGCAGCACTTTAATCATTAGAAATCAAACCATTAATGATCAGTAATCAACATTATCTGCGGAAATAGGGCCCTAAAACTCTTTTTTTTTTTTTTTTTTTTTTTTTTTATGCACTCCCTCGTGTATGTTTCACCTACACAGGCGGTTCGGTGGGAGGTTCGCAAGCGATCACGCCCGACACGCCATTCTCTGTGGACGACCTGAAGTCGGAGCGCGTCTTTTACGTGCAGCGCGCAGGGCAGCCGGCGCGGCAGGACGCCTTCAGCTTCTACGTCAGCGACGGACACAGCCAGACGGAGGCCTTCAACGTCCACATCGACATCCAGGTGATGCGCTCATGATACATTTTGATTGTTTGTGATGCGTCCATTTTGAAAATATCGCCCCAAATAATGATCCCAACTTTAAAAAAAATGTTGATGAGTGAACCTATTATCCAGTTGAAACATAATAGTTTCTGTATACATGGCGGACATGACAAGGCAATATCCACCGCTCAAGCTTCATCTTCTACTCAAAAGCTGTGCTGATCTCAAATCCATCGCAATGCACTGCCGCCATCGACATGATCTGCTAGTTACAAACCTGAATTTCGTCTCCAACCGTGCATCTCTTACTATATTCTGTTCCCCGGAACCCCAAATGAACGTAGATGCTGGCCACTCATTGATTCGAGCCCTGACAAACGTTGAACTCTTGGCGCAGGTGCCTTCATTCGTTCAAGTTGTCATAGGTGACCTTCCCTCTAACATGCGAGTGATCCCCGGCTGTCGGCCCCGGATGAATTAATTCTCTCTCTCTTTCTCTTTCGGGCACTCAACAGGGCAAGCGGCAGAGTGAGCCGCTGGTGTCGGTCAGCAGCATCCACGTGGAGGAGAACTCCGGAGTGGTGGTCACCAACGCGTCCCTCAGCGTCCTGGACCAGGACACGCCGGAGAACGAGATTGTGTTCACCGTCGTCCGGAAGCCGTCCTACGGTCGGCACTGCAACACGCTGGGGCCAATGCGATGCCGTTGTTTTGGTGTCAAATCTGGGGAAAATTCAGCCCCTGAAGCTCTTTTCACTTTGCAATGTGGAATTTGGCAAGCATATCGATCCTGAGTCTCATGGGATGAGTGTCCAAAAAGACAGAGGCAGTCGGCAATTTTATCGCAAATGGCCACTTTAGGATCATTTTCCAGCGGTTGTGAGAGAGTTTTTGAAAATTCAGCCCCTGCAGCCTGTGTCACTTAGCAACATGAAATTTGGTATGCATGTCCATCATGACCCCCCCCTACAAAAACAGCCCAAGAATCCATCTCCAAAAATACACATAAGTGTCTACCATTTGGTTCAAAACAGCCATTTTAGGATCATTTTCTCACAGTTGTTAAGACACGTTGAAAATTCAGCCTCCAGAGCCAGTTTGACTTGGCAACATGGAATTTGGGAGGCATATCTAACATGAGTACGGCCACAAAAAATGTCTCAACAATCCATGCCGGAAAAGACACCGAAGTCTGACCCTTTGATTTAAAGAAACCATTTTCGGGAGATTTTCCGTGGTCCTCCTTGAGAGTTTTTGTTTTTAATTCAGCCCCTGAAACAAGTTTGACTTGACATTGTCAAATTTGGTCGGCGTGTCTTTCATTAGTAGCCACCTCAACACGCAGGAAATCACAGGAAACCATCTTAGTTGACTCTGCTATTTTCCAAAATCAAATTTGACTGCGAGCCTTGGTGGAGGTCTGCGCACTACTACAGTGGGGCTCAGACTATTATTTGCGCACACACACACTTAACTGTTGCGTGTAGCTTCTACAGCCTGGATGGTAAATGACTGGGACAGCGCAAAAAAAAAAAATGCACTCACACGCAAAGTTGAAAACAAGACATCCATCGCAAGCTGACTGCAGCCATTTCTCAAACACACACGCACACATACGCACCAGCATGACACGCACTCAAAATTAGCTGACCTCCAAACACTGTGTTTTCGCAGCGAAATTGTGCTTTCAATTCCTCCTGCCACAGTGAGACCAGCGAAAACAAAGTGCTTGCCAGAAATCAAGACAAATACAGCTCTGCAGTTTGGGGACAAAGTGCATCGGTTGCTTTTTCACATAGAAACCAGCGAAGGCGCATCCGTTTTCACACAGTGACACCAAATTTTGCAATCAGTTCTACGTCTGAATATGTAGAAAATCGAAACTGTACAATAACACAATCTACCAAATTAGACTTCCGCCCTCCATTCCGTGTTCCGACAGCAGCCGTCAGGTTGTATTTTGAATTGCCGGAGAAGCGCAAAGGCTTAGATTTGCCAACGTGATGTTCTCTCTCTACCTCCTCAGGTAAACTCCGCCGGCGTCAGTTCTACTCGCAGCCGCTGGAGAACGGCCGCGTCCTCACGCAGGGATCCACCTTCACCTACCAGGACGTGCTGGACCGCCTGCTGGTCTACACGCCCGAGACGGTCAGCGGCGGCGTGGACGAGTTGGCCTTCAGCGTCACCGACGGCGTCCACGCGCACGCCAACGGACGCCTGCGCTTCACCATGGACGTCACCCGCAGCGAGGGGCCGCGCATGACCGTCAACAGAGGCCTGCAGCTGCCAGCCGGTGAGCGAGGCACCTATTCACTCGGTTGGGAAAGTTTGGCACCAGTCTCGCTAATCGACGTGAATTTTGGTGGACGTTTCTTTCATGGTCGGACACATGAAAAAGTCTTAAGCACCCATGCCCGTAGTTCAAGGGCGGAAGTCAGCTGTTTAGGTTTGAAGCACACGTAAAAAATTAGCACCCGACACCAATTTCAGTGATCAACATAATATTTGGTGGACATGTCCATCATCAGAGGACGCACGGAAAAATCTCAAGGACATCGGACCCAAATTTTTGTTTGAAGCAGACTTTTTAAATGTGCATTTTAGGAATTGTCCATTTTAAAGTTGGAAAAAAAATTTGCCCCCAAAACCGGCTTTATCGATGGACAATAAATTAGGTGGCAACGTCCAGTATAACATGACACACCCAAAAAAATCTCACCTACATGCGCCTGAGGTTGAAGTTGACGCTGAAGTTGTATTCCACAAATGCTACCCTGGGAAAGTTCGCAAGAATTCTTCCCAGACGCCAGTTTTTCCGAGGGAAATGAAATTGAGCAGACAAATTGAGCAGGAAGTTGGCCATTTTGCTTTAAATCGGAAGGTTTGGGGAAAAAAAAGTATCAATAGACAAACTTTTGGTACTGTTATGTCAGGATGCATTCACAAAAATCTCAATGCATTCCTGAACAGAAATTTGGGGTTGAAGCAGAACTTTTACAGTCCAACCCCTGTCTCCAATTTCTCTCACAACAGGACACACAAAAAAGTTTCAAGGATCTCAAGTCGGTGACGCTGAATCGCAAAGCTTTTGTTTTGACTCAGCTCAAGGTGATTATAAGTATGTATTTTTTTTCCTTTGCTGCAGGTTCTTCGTCCAGGATCACCGTGCAGAACCTGAAGGCGACCGACGTGGACTCGGACAGCCTGAGGCTGCGCTACGTCATGACGAAAGATCCTCCGAGCGGCAGAGTCCAGCTGAGCCGTAGCGGAGGCCTCGAGAAAGTTTCCACCAAGGGTCCCGTGCGCAGTTTCACGCAGGAGGACGTCAACCAAGGTTGGGTTCAAAGCTTCGGCGGGCACGTTGAGAATGGGATGTCAGCGCTCCGGTGTGTTTTCCGGTTGCAGGTCTGGTGCAGTACAGCCACGAGAAAGGCGAGAAGGGAGGCAGCCTGTCGTTCAAGTTCAACCTGGTGGACCCGGAAGGCAACAAACTCATTGACCAGTCCTTCTTCATCAGCGTGCTCGGTAGCTTGCGCCCAAATTTCCACTCCTCTCGCCGCAAGTTACCGGAACGGATTGCCCCTTATCGTTCCTCGCTCGCAGCATCTTCCTTCGACGCTCCCGTAATTGCGCGTCTGTCGGATCGCTTCCCGCCACACCGCCTGGCCGTCTTTCCCTCTTTGCGGGCATCCGTCTTCTCTGCTCTTGTGCAGCTTGTGTCAGTCCACATTTATCTTCTCCCTCACACCTCTTTGCTTCCTACGCAAACTCAGGGGGGGGCTTGTGGGATAAATTGAAGCCTCAAGAACATGAAACTTGGTCGGCCTGTCTATCATGAGACTCGCCGGAAAGTCTCAGGAAGCCAAACGTTAACTGTCAAAGAAAGTCGGCCATCATTTCAGGTTGAATTGCCAATTTTAGGGTCAATTTGGTCATTGTGAGGGGTCCTCGGAAGGCTAAAAAAATTCTGCTCTTTTCCATTGGAAGCCTGAAATGTGGCCGGCATGCCAATGATGAGGAGACGCACAAAAGAAGCCCTGCCTGAAAAGACACAGGAAGTCATTTTGTTTTGAGGTGCTCATTTCACGGTCAAACCCCGAGAGATTTGCTGCAATCGCTACCAAATCCGAACCACGTGCACGTGAAAGACAGATTGCAAACAACATCTTGTGTGTGTGTGTGTGTGTGTGTGTGTGTTTTTTTTTTTTTAAATGTCTAATGTTCCTTGTGTGTCCTTCCCCACCCCCACAGAGGACCGCCTGCCTCCATCGGTGGTGGTCAACAAAGGCCTGGTCCTGGACGAGAACTCAGTGAAGAAACTGACCACGCTGCAGTTGTCGGCCAGCGACCAAGACAGCGAACCCGGCGAGCTGCTCTACCGCCTCACCAAGCAGACCGCCCTCGGACACCTGGAGCTCGCCGCCAACCCCGGTAGGCTCAACACTCCCGTTCATCCATTCGCTTGTTTCCATTTAAAAAGTCATCTTGGCATTTCCACATTTGTTATAAGGTTGAATGAAAAGATTTGAAAAAAGAGAAGAAGAAAAAAAACACACACTTGCATGCAATTCTTGCTGGAGATTTTCAAAAGAGGCTGCTCATCAGGAACAGTCGAGCTGGCGATAAACCGACTCAGTGCCAGCCATTTTCAAACCCTTCATTACCTCACCACGTGAAAATAAATAAATCCTTTGGGGCGTACCTGGGAATGAAAGCTTAGATTCTTCCAAAAAAACGTGAAAAAACATCTTTGGCATCGAATGAGTTTTTAAGTTGCTCTTCTGTTTTCAAAATGAGCAGCTTTAAAAATCGCCATCCCTCTCATTTCTTTGTCTTTTCTCATTTGGCTCCCCGGTGCAGCCCCACCATCAATATTGTTAAGTATCTCTCGGCTCCCTCAAAGCGCATTTCGGCACCCAGCTTGCAGCTCATTAGCGGGCCGTGAAAACGCTTCTTGTAGCCTCTTGTGCCTAAATAGCAGAGTGATGCGGCGCCATTACGATCACAATTAAAGATGATTATTCTTTCAAATTGTCTCGTTAATAAGCAAGCGTGTTCGTTTGAGCGAGAGAGGACTTGATTGTCTCGTTAGGATGATGAAGGACGGCGGGCGCAAGAGGATGAGGACACGGAAGGAAATTGATTTGCAAACTAGAAAAAAAGGGGAAAATGAACACTGAAATCCAACAGAGGAAACTTTGCTGGTCTTTCAGGACCCACCGAATATTATCTTCTGACACAATATAAGTACCCGAAACTACCCCCCAAAAAAGAGAAGATATTCCTTTCACTATAGAAAAATACCAGACTTTCTTGTAACTTTTGTCTACTTTAATAATCAGGAGTAGAAGATGGGTTGGTTTGACCAAAAACAGCGGTTTCTGGCAGAAAATTGGAGATTGAACGCACGATTGCAAAAATCGAATCAATTGTGGAAGGGTTGAAATTGAATGTTTTACGCTATTGTTATATTCCGCGCAGTCTAAATCCACACGAAGAGGCATCTGAATCTTTTTCCGACCTGAATATGCAGCAGCGTTTTCTTTGTCCGTCTTGCAGGCGTGCGAATCGACAGTTTCACGCAGGCTGACCTGGCATCCCGCAGCGTCCAGTACGCTCACACCAGCCAAGAAGAAAAGCACGCAGACCAGTTCTCCTTCACCGTATCTGACGGCACCAACGAGGTAAATGAAAGTTGGAAATAGGAAGAAAATGTCAATATGCTCAAGGGTATTAAATAACATTTTACAAGGGATTGTTTTTACTTTTTTAAAGTGAAGGTCGTAATTTAAAAAAAATGCAACCTGAATATGCAGCAGCGTTTTCTTTGTCCATCTTGCAGGCATGCGAATCGACAGTTTCACGCAGGCCGACCTGGCGTCCCGCAGCGTCCAGTACGCTCACACCAGCCAAGAAGAAAAGCACGCCGACCAGTTCTCCTTCACCGTATCTGACGGCACCAACGAGGTAAATGAAAGTTGGAAATAGGAAGAAAATGTCAATATGCTCAAGGGTATTAAATAACATTTTACAAGGGATTGTTTTTACTTTTTTAAAGTGAAGGTCGTAATTTAAAAAAAATGCAAAAATGAAGACGGTACCGAAAGGTAATAGTTTTACAAAGGTATTTTTTTCAATTGAAGTTTACAGCTACTAAAAAGAAGTCAAAACTGCAAAAAAATTTGATTGAAAGGAAGGGTAAACGAAATTTTTTTTGTAAGTATTGAAAGGTAGTAAATGAAGTGCAAGATGTAAATCTGCATGAAAATGTTTTGAATGTTTTTTTTTAACTAGACGCTAAAGGGACAATCTATAAAGTTTTTTTCCACAGTATTCATTTCAATAATATGCAAAAAAATGTTCTGTCACATGAACATAATATTATGATTTTTTTTTTTGTGTAACTGGAGATGAAGTAATGCAGCAGGCTGCCATGTTTTGCCGCCATTTTTCTGCTATGGCTACCCAAAGGAGACAAACTTAGCAAACGTCCCTCATGCACTTATTGATGGAATACTGTACAGTACTTGCATGCTCTCTCTGAGGCACTGTAGTGGACGTGCTTCAAAATGCACGCGTTTCGAGCTTACTTTGTTGCATTCTATTGGTTCACCACAAGATGTCACCAAATTCTACCCACTGTACCTTGAAGGTATCAAAGTGCAAGTGGAAAAATATTAAGGCCATGAAAAGTAAGAGATATTTTTTCGGGGTGAGATCTAAATTTTGACATCATATAATCTTCCTCTTGACTGCTTGGCTGAATTTCACGCCGCGTTGGCCACCAGGTGGCGCAGACGTTCTACATCACCATCAGACCCGTGGACGACTCTCTACCCATTCTCACCGTTCCCGGTATGCGCGTTCAGGAGGGCGTGAGGAAAACCATCACCGAGTTTGAGCTCAAGGCCACCGATGCCGACACAGAGGTTGGTGACAAATACCTTTTTTGGGATGGGTGAAAGGTACGGAGACAGAGAGAGGTGGGTACGAAGTTTGGCCCCAAAATTTCCACTATTGCAGACAGTGTCAGAGGTGCAACAGATTTGAGTCTGGACCCGGGGCATAGTGTCAAAAGGTTACCCCCCCATACCCACTGGAAAAGGAAGTAGTAAAGGAAAACTGCATTTCATACTGCGTGGAAGGGTCCTCGATTTTAGCCCCGGTTCCGTCCTCCGTGCGGCAGGCCGAGTCCATCGTGTTCACGGTGGTACAGCCGCCGCGCCACGGCGCCATCGAGCGCACGGGCAACGGGCAGCACTACCGACCCACCTCCACCTTCACCATGGACGACGTCTACCAGAACCGCGTCAGCTACAACCACGACGGCTCCAACTCGCTGCAGGACAGCTTCGCCTTCACGCTGGCCGACGGCACCAATCTGCTCTTCGTGCTGCGGGACAGCGCCGGCAAGGAGGCGAGTACGCGCATTCAATTCCTGTCGAAAATGCCAACCAAAAATCAGCTCAATGAAATGAAATCTATATTTTGTTGGAAATTGTGATTGTACGTTCAGTTGGAGCATATGTTTAAATATGTCATGTAAAATTCAACATATGCGTCTGAACTTCATATGAAAGGGAGATTTTCCTCATTTGGTCATATGAATGACGTTTTCGAATTTGGTCCCGTGAATATGAAATGTTGGAATGCGTTCACGTGAGTATGACACCGGGCGTCTTTTTAGATTGTGACGGCAGCCCCGCAGAAGTTCAAGATTGAAATTCTTCCCGTGGATGACGGCACGCCGCGAATCGTCACCAACCTCGGACTGCAGTGGCTGGAGTACATGGACAACAAGGTCCGACGGGCTCCAAACCTTCATTTCACACCCCAAGCCTTGTTGGAATCCACGCGTGCACTGAAAAGCCATTCTTGAAACCCTAATTTAATGCCGTTAACGAGCTCTTAAAACTCTGGCTTGAAATCCAAACCCTTTAAAACTCCAACAAAGGCTTGAGTCCCTTACCCTGGTTTGAAATTATAATTTTAACCCCAATCCTTTTTTTGAAAGCCAACTTTTTGGGGGGGAAAACCTTACTAAATGCAACTCTAAAACCTACCTTGAAACCTGAACCCGGGCTAAAAACCCTAATCGGAACCCTCGTGCCACCTTCAGTCATTCCAGTCTTCATTGCAATGCGTATTCAGGCACAGCACAATGACTGTGTTGCAGTACCCCCTGTTGGTACAAACGCGTCATTACAAGAGGAGATTTGTCTACTTTTTTTCAGATTTTATTCAATGTGATGTGTTTGTTGTGAACGTTTTTCCTCCCCAGGCGACCAATCTGATCACCAAGAAGGAGCTGCTGACCGTGGACCCGGACACGGACGACGAGCAGCTGGTCTACGAGGTCACCGGCGAGCCCAAGCACGGCTTCCTGGAGAGCAAAGCGACACCCGGCGCCCGCGTCAGCTCCTTCACGCAAGGTGGTGGCCAATCTCCATCTTGGACGTTGCCTTGGCCTGCGCAAAAAAAAAAACATTTAGCGAGTAGATTCTTTCCTTCGAGGGCTTTTCACAGTCAAGGCTTGAATGCAGAGGTTAAAAGTCAAGGTCACAGAGTGGTCAAACCCCAATAATCGCGGCCATTCTCCACCTGATTGTCTTCAATCTTAGTTTGCTGATTCGTTTATGGTTCTGTTGGACTTCAGAAACAAGCGCTTCAGAAACAAGGTCAAACATTTTATTGACAACATTTGATTCTGTTGAGTCACAGCGCGAATGAAAGGTCTTGTCAAGAGCGTTCCACATCTTTCACTTTTATGTCAGTATGCTGTATCATAATGAAAAATCATCACAAATCAATGCGAAAATGATCTTGGAAGTAGCAGCCTGAAAAAGAACTGAAAGAACGTGTCCCCCGTTGACCCCGCAGCCGACATCAACTTGGGCCTGATCCGCTACGTGCTGCGCGAGGAGAGCGCGGGGGAAACCATGGACAACTTCCACTTCCTGGTGAAGGACAGCAAGCCCAACGTGGTCGGCGACAACGTTTTCCACATCCAGTGGTCGCTCATCAGCTTCCAACACAAAAGGTTTGCATGGCACCCATGCGGCGCACAGGCGACCCCCGTTGACATTTGGATTTGCTTTGTTAGCCTCCGTGATTATCGCCAAGTATTCCCTGAGCACTTGTTCTCGCGCTCAAGAAATGGGAGACTCTCTTCATATGGAGGAAACAATTTGCTGAAAATGTCAACTACAAAAGTTGAAAAGCAAAAACTACAGCAAAATATTTGTAAATTAGATTAAAAAAAAATTTCTATTTCAATTTAAATCTTTGTTTAATGTAATCAAATGCATTGAAATGATGAAACACCGAAGGCGTGCAACTCTAAATTGGAGCTTGTGGGGGGGGGGGGGGGGGGGGAGACGAACGCTTGAAAATCTTGACTGAGGCTACACTCGACTTTATTTCTCTGCTTTGCGGCGGCAGTTACAACGTGTCGGAGAAGGCGGGCACGGTGGCGGTGACGGTGAAGAGGACGGGCAACCTCAACCAATACGCCATCGTGCTGTGTCGCACCGAGCAGGGAAGCGCCACCTCTGGTGGCGGGGCGGGATCGCGCCCCGGCCAGCACGACTACGTGGAGTACGCCGGACAGGTAAACGGCACAAGTTAATTTCGATACCATTAGCCAATATTTTGTTTGTTTGTAGTTCATTCTCATTCACTCGCACTGTCTTGATTTACTTATCTTGGGTTTCTGCTCATTTCCTCGGACTCAATTTGCATTTTCAGGTGCAGTTTGACGAACGCGAGGACGTGAAGGTTTGCACGGTGGCGCTGAACGATGATGCGGTTTTCGAGGGCGTGGAGAGTTTCCACGTGGAGCTCAGCATGCCCGTCTATGCGCTGCTGGGCGCCAACACGCACGCTGTTGTCAACGTCAACGACACGGAGGACGAGCCCACGCTGGAGTTCAACCGCAAGACCTTCCACGTCAACGAGAGCGCCGGCGTCGTACGCGTGCCCGTTGAGAGAAAAGGTACACGCTAAAGACAGCTGGGTCAGAAGGAAACCAAATTGGGTCAAAAAGGGACTTACTCAGCTTCTTGGGTAACTCAGTCTCTTTTTGACTAAATGTGGGCAATTTTTTTTACCCAACTGTTTTTGAATGTTTGCTGGCCTAAGCTGTATCGATGAATGATTAAAAAAAATAATAAAATCAACAGATGATTTTTATAATTTTCTAAATGAAATATAATTTGAATATGTTGAAACGAATAACTCATTCAATTCAATAAACTTATTTTTTTGAATAAATGGAATGCTATTCAAATGTACATGAAAATGAAATGAAAGGAAATTTTCTTTTCAATCCATTGTAATGAATGGAATAAAATTTTAAAAAATGGAACATGAGTTAAACCATTCCGTGATTTATTTATTTATTTATGATGTAAAATGAGATGACATGTTATTTTTTGCTGTTGTTAAAGTTGCTTGTCCTGCGCCCAGGTGACACGTCCAGCACAGTGTCGGCCCTGTGCCACACGGTGTCCAAGTCGGCTCAGGGCAGCGGCCCTCACGCCCTGGAGTCGGGTTCCGACTACAAGAGTCGCGGCGCAGGGCCCGAGAGCCGCGTGGTGCTGGGGCCCGGCGTGGCCATGGCCACGTGCGACGTTACCTTGGTGGACGACAGCGAGTACGAGCTCTCCGAGGAGCTGCAACTGGTGCTGTCCCAGCCCTCGGACAACGCCCGCATCGGACGCGTGGCCGTGGCCCAGGTGGTCATTGACGGGCCCAACGACGCCTCCGCTGTCACTCTTGGCAACGACACCTTCACCTATGGCGAAGACGCCGGTATCCTCATCGTCATTTATCAAAATTGCATCATTTCAGGACGGTACACTCTAAAAATAGATAGGTCAAAAAATAACCCACACCAGCTCAAACAGGGACTGACTCACGTTTTAGGTAACCCAATGGGGTTTGGTCAAATGACTAAACAACAAAACACCCCCAAAAATTATTTTGTACAAAAAAACAAAAAAAAAAAGTTGCTTTATATGAACAATTTTTTGAAAAAAAATGTTGTTTTGTTGGTAATTTCATTTGACCCAACTTTATGGATTAAATTAACAAAAAAAAAAGGTCCAGTCCCATTTTCAGTTACAATTCTCTCATAACAGGATGGTCACAACTAACCAAAACTGGGTCCAAAAGGGACTAAACCAGCTTTTTATTTATTTAACCCAAAATGATGGGTCTTTTTTGATGTGCTTATTCATTTGACTCAATTTGGGGGCTTCTAGGAACAACCCATAAGGTTGGGCCAGTCCCTTTTTCACACCAAATTGGGTTCTTTTTTTTACCGACCTATTTTTTAAGTGTCGGAATAGTTTTTGCACATATGGTCATCTTAGTACCCCAAGATTCCAAAGAGCTTTCTCCAGATGATCCGCATCATGTCTACCATCTTGACTAACAGGCACCATTGAAATTCCGGTGCTGCGGCATGGCAGCGACCTGTCCTCCGTGACGTCGGTGTGGTGTGCCACCCGGCCATCCGACCCGCCCTCGGCCACCCCTGGCATGGACTACATCCCCAGCTCCAAGAAGGTGGAGTTCAAGCCCGGGAGAACCCAGGAGGTCAGAAACGATCGCGCTTGCTCGGAAACGGGTCCAAAGTGTCAGTCGGCCTCAGCGTGTGTGCGATTTTTCTCCCGGCAGACGTGCAGTCTGACCATCCTGGACGACGTCCAGAATCCGTCCATTGAGGGCTCCGAGTCCTTCGTGGTCTTCCTGAGTTCTCCGCAAGGGGCCGTCCTTCAGGAGCCCTACGAGGCCAACGTGGTCATTGCCGACACTTTCCAGGACAGTACGTCCGCAGCGCTTCTTCTCACTTGCTTTTTTTTTTTTTAATTGTAATAATTGTAATTGTTGAATTTAAAATATTCCTTAAAAAAAGAAAGTTTAGCATTATTGTGTTTAAATTGAACTTTGTTGATATTTTGCCCACATACACAACTGCCCCTATTTTGGGCAGCACGGTGGTTGATTGGTCAGCACATCTGCTTCACATTACATCTGCGCTGTGAGGCAGACGTGGTCACAAGTTGCTCACTGTGCCGCTGTGATTTTATTTCATTTTTAAGAGTTGAAATTAATACATTTATATTCATTTTTATTCAATTATTATACTGTGATAGATATTTCACTTTTTTTGCATCTGGAAAAAATCCTAGTTGTTTCTTGAATGTTATTCACACTATTCAAGGAAATTTTTGATAAAATGTAAAATAGTTAATACAGTATTTACTGCGTTTTATCATTTAATGAGATTGCATCTCTAAAATAAAATGAACTGTTATATATTCAATATTATTAATATTTTTATATTTTTAAATCACAATTTTAAAATTTGGAATTTTAAACTTTGGTATTTTTATTTTCCATTATTTGCCATTCTGTGTGGTAGCAATAAAGTTTTGTGACCGTCAATGCGGGCGCGTGTCAGTTCCCAGCATGCAGTTTGAGAAGAGCGCCTACACGGTGAAAGAGCTCGACGGCGACCTGCACCTGCCTGTGGTGCGCACGGGCGACCTCTCCTTCACGTCGTCGGCGCGCTGCTTCACGCGCACCATGTCGGCCGCCGTCATGGATGACTTCCGCGAGCGCCCCAACGTGGACGAGTCACGCGTCACTTTCCTGCGTGGCGAGAAGGTACCGCCCGCCCGCCGCACTCGCGTCCGTCTACTTCGGTGGATAGAAAAAGACTACACACCCAATACACCCAAACAATGTCATTTACTTGAGGGTGTGCACACATGCACAACCGCATTTTCTCAGTTTTGAATTTCAATCTTCTCCATTGCAAATACCTGAATCCTTTTTCGAATTGAGTTCTACAGGTTGCATTCGGCAAAAACGGTAGAAAGGTTTTTGAATGGGATTTTTCACTCTGACAAAAACCTTACATTTGAAGACTGGGGGGGAGGGGTGTTGACTTTTTCGAGCCACTCTGTGTTTCTGCGGGGGCGCTAGGTGAAGAACTGCACGGTTCACGTGAACGACGACTCGGTGTTCGAGCCCGAAGAAGAGTTCCAGGTTCACTTGGGGACGCCGACGGGGGACCACTGGAGCGGCGCCATGATCGGCGAGCGGGACGTCGTCACCGTCACCATCACCAACAACGAAGATGGTGAGTGGCACAGACAGAATACTTGTCTACATTTTGAAATATTTGTTCCAAACATTCTCTTTAGTTTATTTCCAAATCGGTCACTTGAAAAAAAAAAAATCCTTTTCGGAATCAGTCATTTTAAAATAGCTGAATGCTTTTCAATAATTTATCTTTAAACATTTTTTAACGGTTCAAATATTAGGATTTTGGTCAGCATTATTTATTTATCTACTTATTGATTTATTTATCTATTTATTTTGGTCATACCGGTACATTTAAAATTATTAGTATTTGTATAAATAATAGTATTGTTAAATTTAAATTATTAAAAATGTGGACATTAATGCATTGTTATTGTGGCCACACATTAAAAAATGAATATTAAAGATTGCACTGTTACTGTTGTCACTCATTTTTGTAATTAAAACTATTTTTTGTTCAACTATTTTAGTTTGGTTTAATTTTTTTTTTTTTAACTTGTAATTTCAAGCTCCCACTATTGAGCTGGAGCAGGCGTCATATCAGGTTCGAGAACCTCCCGGTCCGGACGGTGTGGAGGTCCTTAATGTCAAAGTGATCCGGCGTGGGGACCTGGACCGGACCTCCAAGATCCGCTGCAGCACGCGAGACGGCTCGGCCCAGTCTGGAGTAGACTACAACCCCAAGAGTCGCGTCCTCAAATTCACGCCGGGTGGGTTATTGGAGGAAAAAAAATGCTAGAATGTTCTCCATATGGTGTTTACATGTGGAATCCCTTCAGGGATGGACCACGTCCTATTCAAGGTGGAGATTGTGTCCAATGAGGACAGGGAGTGGCACGAGTCCTTCTCCCTGGTCCTCGGCCCCGATGACCCCGTGGAGGCGGTGCTGGGCGAGATCACCACGGCGACCGTCACCATTCTAGACCAGGAAGCTGCTGGGAGTCTCATCCTTCCGGCCCCGCCCATTGTAAGCAAACCTGCGGGATTCAATGAAAGTCTGCGAACTTCATGCGAACATTTGATGTGAGGGTATCCAAACTACAGCCCAGCGGGCCATATGCGATCTGCCATCCTCTTTTTTTCTTTTAAGCGGCTTGCAACATGACAAAAAAAAAGACATTTGACATGGGCCGTGAGGTTAATTTAAAAAGGTGGGCAAAGTGACAAGGGAGGTTGTCAGAAAAATAGGTGCCATTACTCCTAACAAATTTGTTTACACAGTAGTACGCTAGCCTAATGCTAACATACAAATGGAAACGCTATAGACAAACTAATGGAAATTAGCATCGAAGTAACGGTCATTATAACCCCCTCAAGTAACTGACATACAAACAGAACAAAGAACAATAATCCAAGGCATATATTCTTTCCGCACCGTGGGAACAGAGAGATTTCTTCTTGTTCTTAATCACGCTGGCATCTCTTCCAGTAGAGCTCAGTGCTGCCTGGTAGTGGCACTATGTGGTACTGCACTAAATTTGTGCATTTATTGATTTATTTTAATTACGCTTGCCTGCATACTGTAACAACGCATTCAAAAATGTACCCCGCCACCATCCTCAGGTGGTCTCCCTGGCCGACTACGACCATGTCCACGAGGTGACCAAGGAGGGGAGCAAGAAGACGCCCTCGCCAGGTTACCCTCTGGTGTGCGTCACGCCCTGTGACCCGCACTACCCCAAGTTCTCGCTGATCAAGGAGCGCTGCGAGGAGGCGGGCATCAATCAAACCCAGGTGCACTTCTCTTGGGAGGTTGCGGCGCCCACTGACACCAACGGGGCACGCTCGCCCTTCGAGACGGTGACCGACACGACCCCGTACACCGGCGTCAATCACATGGTGAGACCATCCAAACGTTTGTCTCACGTCTTAACCAGTACTCTGCCAAAACGCTACAGCGGGAGATCATTCCAAAGGGACCGGCAACGGAAAAGGCTCCATCCACTTAGTTCTCGGTACCTCTAATAGTGTCTGGTGCGTAGGGGCGGAGGAGCTCAGAGAGGTCAGGTGGGGCCAGGCCATTTCAAGATTGGAAAACACAAGGCCTGACATTTGAACAGGGGTGCGGAGACTTTTTTCATCCATGTATGCCAACGGTGCTGCTTCTGCATCTGGCGCTCGTGTTGTCAGGTCTTGGACAGCATCTACTTCAGCCGTCGCTTCCATGTGCGCTGCGTGGCGCAAGCCCGCGACAAGGCGGGGCACCTGGGAACGCCGCTGCGGAGCAACATCGTAACCGTGGGAACCGACGGCTCCATCTGCCACACGCCGGTCACCACCGGGACCGCACGAGGCTTCCAGGCTCAGTCCTTCGTCGCCACGCTCAAATATCTGGACGTCAAACACAAAGAACATCCCAACCGGTGAGAGATGGGTGTCGGGTTTGGAACCGGCTTAAGTAGACGAGGCGTGCAAACTTTTGTGCTCAAAAGCCACTTTGGACTCTTAAAACGAACAGATGGAACAGGTCATGTCCCATCGCCGTTGATAACCGTCCACGTGTCCAAATCTGTGTCCCGCTTTCAGGATCCACATCTCGGTGCAGATCCCCCACCAGGACGGCATGCTGCCTCTGGTGTCCACCATGCCCCTGCACAACCTCCACTTCCTGCTGTCAGAGTCCATCTACCGGCAGCAGCACGTCTGCTCCAACCTGGTCACCCTCAAAGACCTGCAGGGTCTCTCTGGTAAATCCAAACTCCACCTTTCACCCACCTGCTTTCCAACAGATGCTGGAGTAAGTCGCGTACGCACTGCGCGTGCAAGTCTCAAGTATGAGCCATCAAGTTTCAAGCATGTCCGAAGTTACTGTCGCAAAAATCAAGCAGGTCAAGTCAGGACTTGGGTTCAACAAGTCAGAAGTCAAATTGAGCCTTTGATGACTAGCGTGAGCCAACTCCATTTTTGTCATGTTGTTCAAGTCTTCATCCTTGGGTTCATAGATTGGATCGCCAACAGTATCTTCTAGTTTGCGTGAAAGAAAAGTAAAAAATCTGGGTGAAAAAACAACTACCTGAAGATGCAGTCTTTGGAATGTTCATTGTAAAGTCTCGCCAAGTCAAGGAGTTCAAGTGAAAGTCAAGTCAGGTCTTTCACAAGTTTTAGCCAAGCAAGTACCCAAGTGCTAAAATTTGGAGACTTGACTCTGCCCCTCTTGAGCCTACCTAAGGAAAATCTCCTTCATTTTCGATCTGTGCCTGCAGAGACGGGTTTCCTGGACGACGTGTCCTACGACAGCATCTCCCTGGGTCCAGGCTACGACCGGCCGTACCAGTTCAACCCCAACGTGCGTGAGGCCAGAAGCATCCAGCTGTACAAGCACCTCAATCTCAAGAGCTGCATCTGGACCTTCGACGCCTACTACGATATGACGGAGCTCATCGACGTCTGCGGTGGCTCCGTCACCGCCGACTTCCAGGCACGCATCCGTTTTTACCGGGAGATGAGTCGGGGGCGCTAGACCTCGAGATCGGCGGAGTTGTAGACATTCTTTTTCCTTTACTCCTCCCAGAGTAAAACGAAACATGAAAATGAAAACTGTGAGAACTAAAGTCCTCCAAAGCCTCCATAATCTTCCTGCCAAAAAGTCAAATTTTAGTAGCAAACTATCTAAAAAGAAACCACGTGGAGACAGTAGGCCTTAGACTTGAAGCCTTGCTGTTTTTCCAGGTCCGAGACTCGGCCCAGTCCTTCCTCACGGTTCAAGTTCCACTCTACGTGTCCTACATCTATGTGACGGCTCCGCGTGGTTGGGCTTCGTTGGAGCATCACACGGAAATGGAGTTCTCCTTCTTCTACGACACCGTGCTCTGGAGGACAGGTTGGCTAGGCGCTTTTAGACCAACCCAAACCGATTTTTGTGTTGTGCTGACTCCATCTTTTTTTTTTGTTTTGTTTTTTTTCAGGCATCCAGACTGACAGCGTCCTCTCCGCCAGACTCCAGATCATAAGGATCTACATCCGCGAAGATGGGCGGCTGGTCATCGAGTTTAAAACGCACGCTAAATTTAGAGGTCAGTAAACACAACTTGAGGGTCCTGGCTTTATCACCGGGGTACTATTTTGGGCTTTTCTCCCCTCCTTTAGGCCAATTTGTCCCAGAACACCACACTCTTCCCGGACACAAGTCACACCTGCTGGCGCCGGAGCACCTGGGAGGCATCGAGTTCGACATTCAGTTGCTGTGGAGCGCCCAAACCTTTGACTCACCCTACCAGCTGTGGAGGGCCACAAGCTCCTACAGCAGGTCAGCCTCTTCACGGTGGTACAAGTCGATTGGACGTACACTCTGCAGACAAAAACCATAAGACTGGGAAGACTGTGGACCGCAGGAAGACATAGTCCTGGGTCGTCCCCAGGGCCTCCTGCCGGTGGGACATGCCCGGAACACCTCACCACGGAGGTGTCCGGGAGGCTTCCCCAATCAGATGCCCGAGCCACCTCATCTGACTCCTCTCAACAGCTCGTGATCATAAGTGAGGGGAGGAACGTAGATCGACCGGTAAATCGAGAGCTTCGCCTTTTGGCTCAGCTCCTTCTTCACCACGACAGATCGACACACGACAGTACCCAGACCGATTCGTGGACTGTCGAAATTGATCTGACATCCATCATCTGAAAGCTCATCCGTAGACGTGTTAGGGAATTAAGTACTTTGTTCACAAGCTGACGCCGCAGAAGGACTTGGGTTGGGACTGTCAGAACACTCAGGCCTCGAAATCTTGGGGTACAATTCTCAATTATGACAATGATCCCCGTATGATAGTTAGGATGGTCTGTGGACCACTGAAAGGATGACAAATAATTCTTGGATCTTAAACACCCTGCAGAAAGGATTATTCCGGAGAGTACACCGTCTTCCTGATCCCGTGCACGGTGCAGCCCACTCAACCGTGGATTGACCCTGGGGAAAAACCCCTGTCTTGCACAGCTCACGCTCCAGAAAAGTATGTCTCCAGCGAAACAAACCTAGAGCTGTTGTCGTTGATCCTCATTGGCGATTTTTATTTTATTTTTTTCCTGCAGGTTCCTGGTGCCTATTGCCTTCCAACAGACCAACCGCCCGGTCCCTGTGGTCTACTCGCTGAATACAGAGTTCCAGCTGTGTAACAACGAGAAAGTCTTCATGATGGACCCGGCCAGTACAGATGTCTCGATGGCAGAGATGGACTACAAAGGGGCGTTCTCCATGGGTACGCTACACCTAGAAACACACCGGGAGACCTTACCTTGACCCTAACTCGAGAGCCAATTCACATTTTTGGAAACTGGAGTGTCCTGGTTCTTCTGAAAGAATCACCTCTGGTACATTTGCCGTTTGTAAGCTCTTTGCTAATTCCTTCAGGTCAGACTCTGTATGGCCGTGTGCTCTGGAACCCGGAGCAGAACCTGCACGCCGCCTACAAACTACAGCTGGAGAAGGTCTACCTGTGCACCGGCAGGGATGGCTACGTTCCCTTCTTTGACCCGACGGGCACCCTGTATAACGAGGGTCCACAGTACGGCTGCATCCAGCCCAACAAGCACCTCAAGCATCGTTTCCTGCTCCTGGTACCGAAACTCGCACTGCCTCGGACCTCCGAGACCTCTCTGGCATCTGTGTTCCTCGCTATGATCTCTTTCTCTCAACAGGATCGCAAGCAGCCGGATGTGTGCGACAAATATTTCCACGACGTCCCCTTCGAGGCCAATTTTGCTTCGGACCTCCCAGAGTTGAACTCTGTGGCCGCCATGCCGGGCGTGGACGGATTTACCATGAAGGTTGATGCGCTCTACAAGGTCCGTAGCCGTTTTTGTCTGTACCTCAGTCCTTCCACAAGAGTATTCCTGCATATTCGCTGTTCAGCTAGCGCAAATTTCCTTCTCGGTGCATATTTGCCAGATATGTGTTCAGTTATCTTGTGGCATCTTGGTGCATAAGGAGAGAAGCTTCATTTAGACAAAAGAAGCAGGGGGGGCTCAATTACATACAGATTCACATGAGAGCGGTATCGGCAAATGTGATCTCTTGTTGCGATGACTCAATTCGAAGCACTACTCACGCTGGTGTTCAGGTGGAGGCGGGTCACCAGTGGTACCTGCAGGTGATCTACGTCATTAGTCCGGAGTCGCGATCCAGCCTGAGGATCGAGCGTTCGCTCTCCTCCCGGCCGAGCCGGCCCAAGCGCGACCTGGTGGACCGCAGCGGGCGCCTGACACTGGACGAGTCGCTCATCTACGACAACGAGGGCGACCAGGTGAAGAACGGCACCAACATGAAGTCCCTGCGTCTGGAGAGCGGGCCCGGAGGAAACTTCCACGCCCACGTGGGCCGCTCGGTGGGGGGCGGGGTGGCCGCTCTGGCCCTCCTGGTCCTGGCCGCGTTGGCCACCTGCCTCCTCTTCCGGCGGTGCCACCGGCAGGCCAAAGTGAGTCACAACTACTTGTAAAATTGCAAAATGGATCTATGGCCTTTGTCGTGTTTCTATCGATGGATGGATGGATAGATATCGATCAATATAGATGGATTGGGTTTTTTTTGTTTTGCGGGGCGGTAAAGAAAAGTTCTCTCACTGTTGCTACCAACAGAGCTGTCACTGCATGCTGTGTGATGTGTCTAAAAAGTATCACATTTTGCTCCAAAAAAATTGAGGATTGTGGGGAGGAAATGTGACTTTTTCTTCGTAAGAAAGCGCTTTTTTTTTTTTGTAGGAGTAATAATTGGTGGGTGGGGGGTCATGAATGATAAAAAAATAGCTTCTTGTAAAATAATAACTCTTGAAAAAAATCCTGCTACTTTTGCATAATATTTTCCACATTCTTTTCCATGAAATCAATCTTTTTCTACTTTTTTTTCAAACTCATTAAAAGTTCATTTCATGTAAAAACATTTTAAGAAGTATATTTTTTTTTAATGTGTGCAATGTTTTGCTCATAAAATGAAATCTTTCCAAAAAGTCAAGGCATACCTGTATACCTTGAATGTTATTTTATTTTTCCTCATCAAAACATTTTTTTTCTTTTTACATTTAACGTTTACATTTTATCGGATAATACAACTTTTTACCACATAGGAATCAGAAGTTTGTGCAAAAAAATATATTTTTTGTGAAATGTAAACTCATTTTCTCATCAGATTTTCATCAAGAAAAAAGGTCAAATCTCTTTTTTTTTCCCCTCTTATAAAATGACGACTCTGGTCCTCATAAAAAACACAATTTCTTGTTTGCTGACATTTTTTTCTTGTTTGAAACAAAAAAACAATAATCTTCAGGCACCAGCCAAGGCAGCGTACGAAGAATACCCGCTGAACACCAAGGTGGAGGTGTGTATGGACAAGTGCGTGGAGAAGAACTTCAGCAGCAAGCACTGCACCGTCACCAACGTCAACGTGTTCAATCGCAACCACCAGCCCGCCGCCAACAAGGCCAAAGTCAAGCAAGTCAACCTGGAAGTCAAACTCCACAACAACCTCAACGACGGCACCGAGGTGTGAAACCAGATATTTGTTTGTTTGTCTTGTTTTTTTAAGCTATTTTCATATCGAAATGACATATTTGCTAATGTATTTTTGTACCACATTGAAAAGGGAAAGCGTGTGATGTGTCGAGAACTCGGAAGCAGTTTTTGTTGTTGTTGTTGCTCATTCAACTGGGCTACCTCACACATGCGCAAAGCACTCGAAAGCTAATGTTGTCTTTTATGGACCTGTTGGCTGTGTCCACACCAAGACGGCTATTTTTAAAAAAATAAGTCAAACTGAAGTTTAACCTTTTAAACTTGCGGTCGCTAGCTAATGTTAAAGTCGCAACAAAACATTCTCATTAAAAAAAAAAAAAAAAAAAAATCCCATAAATTATTTTTTTAATCTGTTTCTCATTTAAAAAATTCAAACTATTGTAAAACTTTTCTTAATTAATCATTAATAATAAAACTTTCGCATGTTACCGCCAGCCTCACGAGTTGAAATGAACTTACTTCACAAGAAAAAAAAGTCACGGTTTTTATTTTGAATTTTTTTCCAAGCAACAAAAGGCGCTTCAAGTTTTTTTAAACTTGAGAGAAATTACACCAAAAATGCTCATTAAATTTCAAATTCCTTCCACATAAAATATCGTGAAAAAAATGTATCTTTGAAAATAAGCTTTTGTGCTGAAATGATTACGAAAATGTCACCTTTTTCATGTAAATTTTTTTTCTCTTGTAAAGAAAATCACAATTTTCCATGTGATATTTGTTTTCTTTAAATTAAAAAAAAATCTTTTCAACTTTATTTTAACAAAATGACAATATTTATATCTTGTAAATGTACAACTTTTTCTCATAAAATTCATTCTCCCAAAAAAAAAAAAAAAATGTTCCCATCAAAAGGACTACTATTTTTGGGTTAGAGCAGCACTTGTTGCTTTTAGCGACAGCCTGTCGTGCCGTTTTTATACGGACAGCTATGTTAATATTCTTATTATTTTTTAATATCCTTCTTCGTGTGGACATAAAAGCACAAAATTGGTGATTGTTAGCTCAGATTCTACTGTATCCAGTCATGTCACTGTAAAATAACAAATCTTATATCAGATGTACTTATTTGTCATCAAGTACCTTCTATGCTGCTGAGTGTCGATGAGATTCAAGTGCAATTATGACAGCTTCCTTTGTGCCATTACGATCGATTGGTTTGACTTTTTCTTATTATTTCTGTCTTTCATTCGTGTGAAAAAATATGTTTGATATCAACATAACGTAGCAGTTAAGGTCTACGTTCATTGGCATTTGACGAGAAAGCGAAAATGATGCTTTCCTGCATTTTTGCAGAGCTAGTTTTCTCAAAAGTTTTGTCATTCATGGCAACTTTTTTTCTCAACTATTTCGTTGTCGAATAACACATTTGACTAAATTACAACTTTCTTCTTCATTCTCTGTTTATTTTTGTAGGACATGTATAAATTATAACTTTCAAAAAACTTTTTAGAGGAAAACGATTTTCTTGTAAAATTTTTATATGAATTTCATGAAATTTGAATGTTTTTCTTATAATATGAAAAATATTTTCTTGCCAAATTTCAACGTATTCTCCTGGCTTTACAACTTTATATCTTGTAAAATTCCAATTGTTAAACACAAAAATTTTCATTGCTTCTCTCATCAAGTTTTGACATTTGCTCATATAATTTTTTTTTTTTACTTACAATTGCAACAATTTTCTTGTGGAAATTTAACTTTTTTTCATAAACATTCACATTATTTCCACCCCTAATCCAATTTTTAAAGTTACAATAAAATTCCAACTCTTTTGAAAATGTCACTTTTTCACTCCTTTTTTTCTCATTAAAAAAGCATGTAAAATTGCATATATATGTATAAGTGAACTTGAGCTACGATGAAATGTTAATATAAAACATATTTTTTCAAGCCTTATTAAGACATATTTGTACAATGACATGATTGTTAGTTTTTCCTCTTTAATTTGTACACCGCTGCCGATATTCCAACAAGTGCCGTTTAATATTTGGAAAAACAATCATCCAAAGTGTTTTATTCCTCCCCCGCGATGGTAACTAATCGGAAGTGTCGCCTTATAAACAATCAAGTGTGTGAGTGTCTTTGGAATCTTTTTCTCCCCCCCCCCCCCATTCGCCCCGCCATGTTACTATGCTTTTTTGTTGTTGTTTGTTTTGATGTGATACTACTGCTGTCCAAATCAAGTGTGAGACACCCACCCGCATTGCAAAAACAAAACAAAAAACTTGACTGCTCTCGCTTCCTGTCTTCATTTGACTGTGTGCCTATGGGAAGGAAAAAAAGACTCCTCCAGAATGAGCAATCCTGGGGAATCACACATATTTTTGGTGCTATGATTATTTTGCTGATACGATGGACGGACGCCTGTATTTGGTGCATTTTTTTTTTTTTTTTTTTTTAGTCAATAAAATGTGAAAGCCAGCTCAATGGTGCATTGTCGCCTTGTGTGTTAAGCTAACAGGTGTAATATGAATATTACACCTTGTCAACAAAAAAACACATGCACGACACATGAAATGACAATATTATTCTTTATATTATTATTATTACCCCAAAATTCCCTAAAAAGTCATTTTTCTTGTCAAATTCCTCATCCAATTTTAGATTTATTGTGAAACATTTTCCTTTTAGCATCCCCCCGGACCCCACCGGTTAAAGAATTGTTCTAAAATTGCACCTTTTTAACGTTAAAACTTGTTTAATATTACAATTTAAACACCAACAGGACCAGTAAATATTTGGTGCTGTTTTTTAATTATCTCCAACAAAGAAAATATAAAAGGGCCGCACGTGATAACTGGTTCGCAGGTCCGCCTCACAGCGCAGAGGTCGTGTATTCGAATCCGAGCCCGGATAGTTTGCATGTTCTCCCCATGCCTGCGTGGGTTTTCTGCCGGTACTCCGATTTCCTGCCATATTCCAAAAACATGGTTGATTGAACGCCCCAAATCGTCCCCACGTGACTTGCTAGTGTGTATCTTAGACGTTGTGTGCAACACGTTGAAGTTGCACATAATGACCAACAGATGTCATCCATTTCCCTCCCAGGCAAGAAGTGTGTCAAAAAGGAGAAGAACCCCCCCACGCCGAAGAAGCCCCCTCCCCCATTTCTTTTTGTGCAAAGTGGAAGTCATGTGACCTGTCCAAGGCACGCCCCCTCTTATGTAATGTCACACGTGCTCCCCTGGTCATCTCTGACCTCCTTTGTGTTCATCTGGAACTTTTTTTCCCCCACTTTGACAGTTAAGAATGCTGGAGAAATGAGATGTGTGAGGCAAGGTAACTTCAGGTTTAATCAAACTTTTACAGTGGTTAATGTATTTTTACACTTGCATTTGCACAGCAGTTACGTTTCTAAAAATCTGCATGCGTCCTGCACGCAATTTTCTTTTACCGAATAATCGTTTTTACATTTCGATATTAACGATTGTTGTCTTATCTTTACACTTATGTCAACAATGAAGTGGTTCACTTCTTTTTGCACTTTCAAAATGTTCTCAATGTCAGCATTTTTTTCTGATGAATATGTTAAATTATTAACTGTTTTAGCAAGAAAAAAAATACTTTTCCTCCACAAAATGTATTTTTTTTACATAAAGCTTTTTTTCCATGTAAACTATTTTCTTGAGAAATTACTTTTGTTGCTATTCAATTTACGTTCCTTGTGAAATAAGACTGCGCTTAAAAATTCGACTTTTCATCACCAAATTTTGACTTTGCCACCTCACAAGATTGCAGGTTTTTCTTCCT